AGTGGGAAGCAATCGTCCTAAAACTACATTATATAATAGATTGGGTCTTGCTGAACAATTAGTAAGGCTGTCAATCATGAGTCTGAAGCTTTCAAATATTTGAAGAGTTTTTTCCAAAGCTTACAAAGAGGGGAATTGAAGCTGGATTTTCTGTAGGCCTTCAAATGAAAAAAAAAATAAAAAAAATAATGGATTGTTTTGGTTGGTTTCAGTGTTTTGCCGATATGTTGAATGGCTGATAAAATTGCGAGCAGCATCGGTGGATCTGGAATGTGTTAACAAAACCTACAAAGAGTGTCTATAGCTGTCGTACTGTTGTCAATATGTAAGTCAAATGGTATGAAATCAAAACTAAATCAATTTTAGGAATTCTAGAGTTGAAAGTAAGGACACAGATCTATCAAGACTTTTATAGTTGTCTTTTAAATTTATAAGTTAGATTGTATGGGAGAAAGTTGTACAGGTACAAAGCAAAAGTATTTGGTGCTATTTTGGATAGTTCCAGATTATTGAAGGGCACGTAAAAGCTATTTTTTCCTGGTATTGTGAGTATGAGTGTCAGTGTTTCTTAAAAAGGTATTTCAATTGCCATGTATGTATCTCATTAGCTCAAGAACGAATATGCCGGTAACAGTTAATATTTTATTCTTTGAAAAAAAATCAACATGAGCGATCAGGTGTAGAGCCCACGAGAAATCTTGAGGTGCGTATTCACCAAAATAGCGAGCACGAGCGAACATGAGCGAGCATTTGTGAATGTTTGCTCGTGTTCGCTCATGTTCGCTCGTGTTTGCTCGACATATTGATGTTTCGTCCACACCAGAGCGAATATCTTCAAGTTCGTAGTCGTAGTTGATCCATCCTTAGCTCGCACAAGTTTCTCAACTTCTGAGAGTCTTCGTTCGTATGGAGGTGACAGCTAATTAACGGAAAAACAGAACAAGCATACGTCCGCTCGCTCGCTAGCCCGTACTCACCAGCGAACGTATGCTTGTTCGCGTTCAGAAAAGATCGAGAAGAAGGCGGTACTACGAACTTGAAGATATTCGCTCGGGTGTGGACGAGACATCAATATGTCGAGCAAACACGAGTGAATACGAGCAAACATACACGAATGCTCGTTCATGCTCGCTCTTGCTCGCTTTTTTGGTGAATACGCACGTTTACGATGCGCTTCTGAGACACAAAAACACTATGTGCTGCTGGGATATTTTCCCAGACAATAATTGCATAGGAAATTCTGAAGTGGATTTCGACATGGTAGTATTTAATGAGATGGTTCACACTAAGAGCACTTTTTGAATTTTTCAATTGATACCACTTAATATCTTTTACTGTATCAATTATACTGTTATTTGAATCGATATTCAGAGTTGGTATCTTTTTTGAATTTTGATGGGTATGAAATACCGTATAATTAGTTTTACTGTCAAGAGACCAAGCAGATAACTGGTTGACTGAATTTGTAATTTTGATTTGTAGCGATTCATTATCTTCAGCTTTCAATAGTAGAGTGGAGTCATCTGCCTATAATGTGGTAGGGGTATCTGATAATGTCATGGGTAGATCATTAATATATGAGATAATCAATATGGGCCCCTGATCTATCTGACACCAAAGTTTTGTCTTTATTGTTTTCAATTAATTTGTTCAAATTATTATCTGCCCGGTAAGCCACATCCAAGCCCTTACTTTTCCAAAAACGAGCGATGTTTCAGTTTGGTTCACCACAGTATATCAATGTCCTGTGATGCTTATTATTGTTTTTTGAAGTGAGATAAATTTGGTAAATGGCTTGTTTCCGCAGTTTTTTAAAAATAATGGAGTCGGTAATATCTACTTCGAAACTATTGTTGACAAAAAAATATTGCTGTCACGAATTTTCAGGAAAACCACATCATAAAGCCTCTAATATTCAGAATCCGTAGTCCCTGATGTCATGAATTTCCATACATTTATTACAATTTTAAAGCTCATAATCAATATATGCAAACTTGATCTGAACTCATTTCAAAACTAGATAATAATTTATAAAAACGCCTGAATGTTTGCAATCGTCTCTCTAATAGTTTTGAAAGTCATATCGGTTTTCTCTCAACAAATCAAGCTGCTGCTATCGTGGAATGTCAAAGGGTTGTTTGAAGAAATTCAAATAACTTTCTGGAATTTGAAGTTTTTTTTTAAATTTCACTTCGATAAACAACTAAATTTTGTTGAAACCTTGTTGAGAAATTCGTATTATCATTTTCGATTGAAGAGTAAGTCTTCTGCTGATGAAATGAACAATGGAAAAATTGAAAAATATATCATAAACTATAAAAAAATTGTGAGAATTTTTGTGAAATCATCATTTCCTGTTGTACAAACTCAAAAATTGAATGGTACGGTCTCGTACTATAAAAAAAGATTCATTTTTCTGTGTCACTGAAAAAGTGGAAATTCCCAACTGCTGTATCTCAGTACTTGTCTACTTTTTCACGGACACAGAAAAATATACCACATAGTATCCCTTTTTATAGTACACTTCAATATGAAGGTTTGAAAAACTTCAGTTCCTATGAAATTTTCGAGATAAATGAAGCAACAAATGACATTTGAAAAAATACATGAAGGATATGTGAATCGGTGGAAAATTTCAATCCTCAAAGAACTTTACAAACCTCATCTTATGTTCACTAACTTATGTTCACTAACTCAAGCGGTTTCAAATTATTCCCATAGATGGCGTCATAGTAACACCATACTGAATTTTGGATAAAATAACTTCTAAGCCGCAAATTTGTATAGAAATGGTCAATTGTGATATATCGTGATATACGTAAGATTAACTACATACTCTAGAGGTCATTTATTCTGGGACGCCATCGATTCCAAAATATTATTAGACTTCTCAAATATTCATTAAACCTAAAGCCGTTCAAAAACTACAGGTAATTTTGATTTACGTTGATGATCCGATTAAGGAAAGGGTGAAATTTATCATTTTTTGGAGTGAGATCATTTGATGCCCTACAGAAAATTAATTTTTCAATGTTACGGGTGAGAATTAACACCGCATTCAGTTGCCAAACTTTTTTTAATGTATTGAATTTTTGAAAATATTTTCCTTTTTTTTGTAAACATTCATATTTGTTAGTTTTTCATTATTTTACTATTTTCAGGCATTGGAGAATAATGAAAAATATACATCTTACATTTTCATATTAGGGATTTCAACTGGTAATTATCACTTCTCATATGGTTTTGATAACCTTTGAAGATCATTTAAAACTGTACGACGCTTTTTGTTTCGATAAAAAAGAGAATCTTGCTGGGACTTTTATCCAAAAAAAGTTCACTTCAGGGGATAATCTGACTAGCAGTTCTTGGGTAATTAGTAGTTTCCTATTCGTTTTAAAATTCTGCAAACTAACGCTGAATATCATGATTTCAATAAAAATTTCATTTATAATTCATCCCAGTTTACTCCAATATAATTTAGAAATATCGAGTTTGCAGATTCTGAACAAAATATAAATTTGCTAACTACCCAGGATCGTCTCATCTGATTTTCAACAATGAAAAAATGTTGGATAGAAAGTTGAAAAAGCTATCAAATGAGATATTACGATACCCCAGATCTTATTGAAAAAACAGTTGAAACACCCTCCCGGTGACAAGTGATGTAACCAAAAAGTACTAAAAATTATATCTTTTTCTGTATATTTTGTCCGACCTTGATATCTAGGCCTGTTTGAATGTTGAGAGGAATGGAAGCTATCACCTTTTGGTGAGATTGTCACTTTTTTATCTTCCTGTATTCCCGAAAACCAGAGCGAAATGCAACGCATTCATGAGTCAATACCAGACAGCACTGTTTCGACCCGCAATAAGTCTCATCAGTGGTGCCAGACTGAACCACGAATGCACTGCTAGACTCAACTGTAAGTAAGATGTCAGATGTAAGTAAGTCAGATGGCGTCTGGTGCTGTCTGATGTAGAATCACACATGCGTTGTTTTTTTGGGCTCTGGTTCATAACTAGTTGCCTTTCAGTGACAGACAGAGAACGAATTTCGTCTTCAGTCGGTGTTGAAGCTTGGTTTTCCAACTGATCGCCTTGGGAAGCTTCGTTTATTTTTGATATTCGAAGATTGAGTTCGCTGTCGATCCCATAGATGGCGTCTTTGTGAGAGGAGATGTAATCGACCTTCCTCAAGTCTGCCTTTAAAGGACAGTTGAGTCCAGCAAAGCATTTGTGATTCAGACTAGCATCACTGATAAGACCTATGACGACACAGTGCCGTCTTGTGTTAAATCGTAAGCACGTTGTATTTGGGATCTCGTTTACAACTAGTTGCCTTGCATTGAAAGCTAAAGTGAAAGACACAGGTCGTATCTCGTCGTAAGGGCGATGCCCTTACTCAAAATTGCGACTTTTATCTAGAAATTATAACTTTAACTTCGAAATGATGAAAATATGTGCTCCTTCTGCACTTTCGTAGATCCCCTATGACCCCTCAAAACTCCACCATGGCCCGTATCTCTCTTAATGAACTTTTTATTTCATATACAGTTGAAATATCATATATTTTTTTGTTGTGGAGTAGTTGTCCTGGATGTGATCCTCATTGGAAAACCTACAATTTGTTGACTATCGAAATATTTCAATATTGGATAATAGGTGCATTGTAATCTAGGAAGTTCACATTTATTTTTGAAAAACTTTTTGAGGACTTAATATTTCTTACTAAATTCAATTGAGGTGAAAATTTTCAAGAGAATTTTTGAAAATGGAAAAAGGTTAATTTACGAAACGTCGAACACTGACTGAAGCTGAATACATAAATTGATTTGTTTTCAATTTGTTGGCAAAATTCATGAATACGACAAGTTACTGACCTATAGACCTGATAAAATTGTGGAATCAACTCTTCAAAGAAATATCTAACGTTTCTGATCAGCAGCAGCATGGAACATCTTCGGAAGATTCATGACATAATACTATTGATATTTTTTCAGAGATGCATTAAGAGACACCAACTGCAAACTACAGGAAAGCCTCAAGAAATCTGCAACAGAGTTGAATGATTTGTCACGAAAAATCGAAGATACCAGTGGTTTAGAAACAGACAAAATCATTTATGAAGAGAAGTGTAAGCTTCTAGAAAGTGACTTGAAAATCGCTCGAGATCAGTTAGAGAAAACCAAATTAGAATATTCCTTGGAGAAGAGTAGCCTACTGACTACTATTTCACAATACGAGCATCTAAATAATGAGGTAAGAACAACATGTCATCATTCAATGGCAGAACAAGTATCGCAAAAACCGCACTAAACTATTCATTCTTCATTAGATTTTAGAAAAGAATAACATGATCGAACAAACGAAAATGTTCATCTCAAATATATCTTCTGAGAACATGGCACTGCGCAGTCAAGTAGACGGATTGAATAAAATTTTATCAGAAACAGGAGCAGGAGATGTTGTCAGAGAATTAACGAATAACCAAGAACAGTTGATATATTACCAGTCACAGTATTATCAGGTGAGTTCATCAAAATTGTTGGGGAAACATAAAACGGTACACATATTTTCAAGAACAAGATGAAAGAATGTTTTGGTCGGTTTCCGGGTTTTGCTGTGGCCTTCTTTCGGTACAATCTCCAAACGTTTCAACTGTGACTGCGGCAGTCATCTTCAATGGCGTGGTCGAAGTACTCTTCTTGACGTATCAACTGAATACGTCAAGAAGACTACTTCACCACGCCACTAAAGATGACTGCAGTAGTTGCAGTTGAAACATTGGAGATTGTTACCGAAGAAGACCACGGCAAAACTCGGAAACCAACCAAAATATTGACACCAGCCGTGAAAGCCTACATTCCTATGTAAGATGAAAGAATGTCAGACATTCGAAATTTGGACTTTTTCCAGTATATGACCTGACATGAATAAATTTCAATTTCCTGTTTTTATGACAATTATCGTCTTAGTTTTATCATTGAGTATCTTAATATTATCCTTATTATCAACCGGGATTTCAAGCACATGTTAACAATCTGACCAAAGATTAGACCTATTTTATCTATACTTATAAATGTGAAAGTCACTCGCTTAACACTCATTCATATCTGTTTCTCCGTACTGGTGAGGCATAGGAAGCTAAACTTAGTATATAGGTGCTTCTTAGGTCTTAGATGCGCATTGAGGAAGGATTTTCAAATATTCCAACTGGGGCGCCCCCACTCGGGGCGCGTTTACATATGGAAATTACCTTTTTGTACAACCGTCATTAAAAGTGACATTTTTAGTGGTTGTCAAGTATATCAAAGGATGATGTTAACATACAATTAAATTCTGTTACATATGTATTATATACATTAATAACATTATTATTTGGAACAACTGTTGAAAATAATACCTTGCGATGTTGAAGAACCTTGTAATATATTTGAACTAGCTGAGTTGACAATTTCATGGACATTAACATTCAATTCTGGAAGTGAAGCGGACGATGCTGTAACGCTGGAGCTAGTTGGGATTATTCTTTCAGCAATAGACTTTTTATAAGAAATGGATTGATCGATGTAACCCTCAGCTACTGTTGTAGACTTCCATCCTCCATACTTCTTAATATCTGTTATATTTGCTCCTGATTCTGCTAGCAATGAAGCAGAAGACCTTCTGAAACAGTGACCTGTATATTCCTTTGGTTCCGGGAGGTTCAGAAACTCAGTAATGGTAGAAGGCATTTTCCCAAACGTATTTACACCAACTGGGTTGGCACTGTATTTATAATTTGAGTATTTCAGAAAAAATTTGAACAATCAATGATTTATCCATTAACTTAATGTCTTCTATCAATAAATGGCACAGTTTTTTCACGCCGGCAGGCTCTAGATATTTCAAAAATAGTAGCAACTTTTATCATCAAATATTTTTCATCTGGCGCCTCATTTATGAACCTCTGGACTTGTTCAAACGTAAGAGTTTTTGATTTTTTGTGCCTGTAACTTTCTTTTTTTCGCTTTGAGAATGCTATTACCTTGAAATATTTGCTTGTAATAACACCATTTTTAACGAGCACACTTGACTTTATCATTAAAAAGTTGCTCCACAAAGTTGACGAGTTCCATATTTTTTATTTCTCTTCTAGATAGGCTAAGAAAACGGTTTCGCTGATATTTCCTTTGACGTTTTCAAGTCTACACCAGCTAAGAAATTCAGAATAAGCGATGTTGTACTGCTGATTCGATTTTTTTTGTAACGATTCAATCGAAGCTCTTTTTACAGCCTCTTCAATATCATCAGGAACACAAAATTCCTCACAATTGTTCTTAATTATGCAAGACATCAAACACCAGCAAAAACTTTAAATGTGACTTCAAATAAAACGCGTGAGCTGTAAACTTTTTGTTGGGAACCAGATGATTCGGCGTCACCTGACACGGCCACTTCACAGCAAATGCGATAACATGAAAATAGTTAACTGACAAGAGATGTCAAAATGTGTTTTTATAGGACTATTAAATTTATCTATTTTATCATGAAAACAGCACAGTTGTACAAAAAGGTTTTTATGATATTTGGGTTAAAAGTAAGTTTCATTTTGTTCGTGAAATTGCTCAACTTACAACGCTCGTTTCGCAAATTTTTTCACTCACAAGATAAAACCTCACTATCAACAACTATATCATAAATAGCTATTTCCTCACGGTTTCCTTGTACCGCTATATTTTCGGAGACTGAAATTTTGTATGTAGATTCGTTTTATGTTGCAGATGTGCAATAAGAAATTATTTTTAAATATTTCAACTGGAGTGCCCTTACTGGGCATAGAAAGAACGCGTTTACATATGAAAATTACCTTTTCATCGCTATTTCTCTGTACTGCTATATTTTTGGAGGCTGAAATTTTGTATGTAGGTTCTTTTTATATTGTGGATGTGCAATTAGAAAGATTTTTCAAATATTCCAACTGGGGCGCCAGCCGCGGGAGAAAAAGACCCGTCCATAAAACAAAATTGAGTTTTCATCACTTTTTCTCTATGCCCTTAAATTTTCAGTGGGTGCATTTACATTTAGTATCATCATTCCATCCGTGAGGTGCCGGGGCGGGTCGCTAGTCACTAATACTCGTATAGTATAAAATTGGATCTAAAATACTCGTATAAAATTGGATCTTTTCAATATGAATTGAAAAGACGGTAAATTGACGCAAGTGGTAGTGTGTTCGAGTAACGATTCAAAGTTTATGAGTTTGAAAGCAAATTCGACCCGATATATGTCTCGCAGGAATGTTTGTAGTTGAAGTTAGAATGATTCTACTATGTTGAATGGCTGATAAAATTGCGAGCAGCATCGGTGGATCTGGAATGTGTTAACAAAACCTACAAAGAGTGTCTATAGCTGTCGTACTGTTGACATTGACAAAAGATATTTTTAGTACGCCCTTCGAATGGGTCGAAGCCCAGCTAGACCTGACTAGCAACATATTTTTACCAAACAAAGATGAAAAATTAATGATGATTGAATAACAATTAATCAATATAGTACACAATACATATTTTTAATAAATTGAGTTGACAATTAGAAATATATTTTTAGTACGCCCTTCGAATGGGTCGAAGCCCAGCTAGACCTGACTAGCAACATCTTTCTGCCAAACAAAGATGAAAAATTAATGATGATTGAATAACAATTAATCAATATAGTACACAATACATATTTTTAATAAATTGAGTTGACAATTAGAAAGAAATGTGCAATATGGAGAACAGAATTTCAACTACAGCAAAAAAGCAATAAGAATCAATTCAAATCGTTAGTACTACCATCTATTCACATCACGATAATGATAATGGTGTATAAAATGTATATCCAATATAGTGAAGTTGCAAATCATCTTAAAGACAATTTTTAAAAGGAAATGATCAATTATTATTCCGCAAAAAACATCGGATTTTGAGTTAATGGAGGAGATGATATCTCTCCTTTAGAAGATGCCTATTCATGGGATCGAGACAAGACTCAATTTACGAATATTGAAAATAAATGAGGCTTTCCAATTCGGTCAGTTGCAAAGCCAAATTTCGACATCGACCACCGAACGAGATTGATCCTCTGTGATCCATTTCAGCTATCAGTGCAGGGCAACCAGATGAAAACAAAGCCCAAAGATAAAGTTATTAATAGTAATGCTAGGTTGAACTACGAAAACACGATCTATGAAATCGACAAAAACAATCCACGAATGTGGACAAAGGATGACTCTCGTTCAGCGGTCGATGTCAAAGTTCGGCTTAACAACTGATCGTCCTAGACAATTTCGATTATCTTCAATATTCGTTAATTGAGTCTTCTCTCGATCCCCAGGTGGCATCTCGTAAGGAAAGATATCATATCCTCTTTTCACTCAAGCTTGTTCTTCAAGGACAGTTGAGTCCTTCAATGCATTCGTGGTTCAGTCTAGCAGCACTGATGAGACCTGAGGCGGGTCTGATTTTGCATAATGAATGTTTCACTTGCTCCACTCTGTTCTCATCACATCAATTTTTGTTTATCTTTTTAACCATATAAATTATGTAAACTCTCCATTCATTTGTATTTTCAGGTATTAAATGAGAAACAGCGCCTCCTGGATCAAATGGATGTCTTGAAAACTGATAATAAGGCGATGTTAGAACATCAAGAGACAAACTACAAACATCTGCAGAAACAACTCCAAGATTTAGAAAAGATATCTAAAGATAACAAAATACTCAGACAACAATTCGAAAGAGAACATGAAACCGTGATTTGTTAGTTCATATTGTCTAATGTGATCCCATCATATCTTCATTCTCATTCCAGCGCTTCAAAACGAGAGAAAAAAATATTTGGAAGAGAAAGATTTATTGAAGGCAATATTTCACCACCTCAAATCAGAAATTTCTCGAGTCCAAAAGCTTGAGGGGACCGTATCTGATATTAGCAAGGAAGCAAATAAACTTGCGGTAATTGGAAAATTTTCAGGAGCTCAGTGTCAAATAATTGAAAACTATTTCAGATATTTTTCAGATCAACTACATACTATTTTTGCTATCAAGTAATCAATTCAATTTAACCTCGTTGATAATAAAATATTTGAAGAATGGGACCATTAAACTTTATATATATTCATTTTCCATAACTCACTTTGTTTTTGAATATTTTTTGGGAAGCTTATATAAAAAGTCTATAATTTTTNTATCAATAAATAAATATAAAGATAATATGGAAACTTATTCAGAAAAACGGGGATAACGTTTGCATCAAAGAGAAACCTTCGCAAACTAGAATACAGAAAGCATGATGGAAAAGTATATTTGAGGGTTAATAAGAGAAACTTCCACAGAACATGACAGGAAAAATGAAACTTTTCATTTTTAAACATTTGAAATTTATTTCGAATCTTCTACTGTGGAAATTAATCATAAATTGATGTTTGGTATCTGATAATAAATCATCTCTATGTCCATTTTTTATCTTTTTTCATTGATTTGAATTTTTCATTCTTTACACATTCAGCACTAGTTTTTGTTCTTATTCCCATTTTTAGGTATAAAAGCAATAAAAATAACGTATGTACGTATAAACCGTGCACAAAAATGCTGTAGACTTGTAAATCGTATGAAACGAAAAGTACCTTACTACTTTTCTTATGACATGTATTCATCGGCATTTCGAGTTCTTTCACAATATACCTCGATAAATTCTCTTGAAATATCATATGCTTCACTTCCAAATGTCTGTTTCTGTCCTCAAAGTAGGGTAGGCTTTAAAAAAACCCATACCCTAAAACTATAACCCTCTTCTCGACGTACTTTCCATCAACCAAATTGAAAATACAGTAAGTAATCTGTCAAAAATATCAATAATGAAACTTGAAAAAAGGAGTGCCTAAAAATGGTTGGATCCTGCCGAACATGGAATTTCTCCTAAAGTCTACCTCTACATTCCTACATTCCTACATTCATAACATTATTTATCATGTACATTCCAGATGATTGCTGAATATAACAAACAATTGGGGAAGAAGTTAAAGACAGAAATCATCGAGAAGGACAAAACTATTCTATTTCTCAAAAGTAGTGTCGAAAAACTGAATGACATTCAGATAAAAGATACGAAGGAGAAATTATCTTTATGCTACGAGCTTTCCGAAGTTTGTCAAATGAAGGATCAGCTTAATAATGTATTATCGTTGGAAGTACGAAAGAATATGGCGCTGGATGACTCGAAAAAAAAAGTGGTCCAAACAGCGGATAGTCAGGTAAAATGAAAATTGAAAATCTCTCGAAGATTTTTAAAAGGCAAAATTGACAATTCACTCACTACAGAAATATTGGGTATATTGATGATATATTTGATCAGATATTAAAATTTTCCATTTTGTTTGGCAAGTTATTATGAGAACATCTTTGCGAAAAAATAGTTTTTTCAATGTATAAGCTGATCGAAATTGGTAATTTTCAGTACATTAAATCATTCGAATTGGCACGAAAGTATATGCTAAAAAAAATAGTTGAGTAATACTTTGACTAAAGTTTTTAACTCTTCACCCTTTCCAAGTAATTGAAATGCTTACATGAATTGAACAAAACTAACATATTTTACGATATTCCTATTCACACATGATTTTGGTGACCAGTATAAGGCTAAATACTCTTCTCAACTGGAACTATCATTTGTTATATGTTGTTTCTTGTAAAATTTTGATTTCATTAGAATAAGGAAACAGATTTTTTTCTTACTCGTATTTATTTATTACTATTGAATTTGAATATTTTTTTTATTATTAGCATAATCGAAATTTCAACACCACCGAAAGCTAGTACATGTTCGTCAATAAAATTAGATACATTCAGAATGGCTTCAAGTTGAACAGCATGAAGGGCAGGCCAAAAAATAGTAAATGAGTTCAAGAATGAAGTATCTTCATTCCGAAAAATATATCGAAATGTAATAAGTTTTGTCCAACTTGTTCTTTGATAGGTATAAACGCATTCATTTCATTATTTCTTCGATAAATGCATCGTATCAACATTAAAATGATACTCATAACAAAAAGCTCATTCGTAAAACTCCTCTTGTCACATATCTATTTGCAGAGCGTTGTTAACTCTTTATTTTTCATATGAGTACCATATAGTTTGGCGATTCCTAGCAAGCTCCACATTTTGTATATCTAGTAACGTCACGTCTCATTTCGCTGAACCGCTCTTTTTTGAAGTTTACAAATTTGTTTTCGCTAATATTCCCCAAATTACATGCCGATTTCATTTTTTGAATGAAAAAAGTTCTTGCAATAAGCGTTATTGATTTAGGTTGTCGACGAATAATGTTAACGTTTTGAGACCAAACTGCAGCAATATCTGATACGTACCACTACTTTTAGCGTTTGAGAATCAAAACTATTTATTTCAGCTGAGGAAGTATGAGGATTTCCAAAAGAAGGAACGAACAGTACTCAAAGATTTATTGAGAGATCTGAAGATTGTCGTTAGACAACGAGATACCCTAGGAAAAGAACGGGAAGAACTTTTGAAAGAAGTACATTCTTACAGGTGATGAAATTATTTGAAGTAATTGTTGATTATTTTCAGCTCGGTGATCTTAGAATTTCACATAGCGAACAAAATAAAAAAATTGAAAGTCTCATTACGGAAATGAATGGATCGAAAATAAAGCTGACTGATTTACAAACCAAATATGATGAAGAAAAATGCAAATCTGACAAACTCCAGGATAAAATCACCTTCGAAGTCGGAAAATACAATGAAAATATTAATCAACTTGAAAAACTCATTATTCAGGTTTCTTTATATTCATTTTTCTGTTTTTGAAAATCTGAGAAAGAAAGTTGACTTTTACTATCTTCTACAAAGCTTACCATGTGCCGGTGGTCGCTTTTACCCTGGGAGTGAATGCCACCCCTTTTCGTGGGTGAAAATTCTTTCGTTGAACCAGATTCAGCTTGGTGACTGATTTTTGGAAACTCTCATCATTTATGGTTTATGCCAAAAGTTAATATCTATATTATAACTTATTTGCGAGTGGAAGTGTCAACTTTTCAACCCACATTTTTAGACTGTTTGTCGCGAATAACCCAAATAGTAACTATTTTATCGAAAAAATTGTTCAAAGTAAAAATGTAGCTTACAAAAAAATAGAAAGAATGGTGGGCTCATGATGTCTGTAGACCCAATACAAAGGAGGTATAGCTTATTCGTAAATGCCAAAATTAAACGTTTCAACATGAAGTAAAAAAAACAATGTATTTTTCTGAGAAAACTCATGAAACCATTCTGACAGTTGTTTAAAAAATATGTATAATTATGTTTTATAAGAGCTCCTAATATAAAAAGCTAGTTAATTATACCCTGATTACCACCACATTCAAAATTATCGTTACCATTCCCCAATTGACTTTGTTTAAGTACTTGTAATATGCGCTAGAAATATGACGGATCCAAAATGCTAAGTTAAAAAAAATTAACTTGAAGTGAAAAGAGCATTTCTGATTCTGCAATTATATGCTATTTCTTCAAATAATCAAGAACTATCAATTGCAGCATTCACGTTGAAACTTTATTGTATGTATCATTGAAGTTTGAGTTGTTTTGTAGAAAAACAACTTTCTGCAGTATTCTAAAAATACTATTTTCACTTCAAACTCAATTTTTTTTCAGAACCAAGAACTTTTAATCGGTCAAACTTCTATGATATCACAAGTATATGAATGAAGTGGATTATGAAGTGATAACGAGTAATTTTATTTAGGGTGATTTTCACAATTTTGTGTTTGAACCCGCTCGCTTCTTTCAAAAATGAAAACAAGATTTTTTGGGTAATTCAGGAAACTTCTGTCAGTTTTAACCAAAAAATGCACTGTTTTTTAGATGCTTCACATTGAAACTCCAATTTTTGGCGTTTGACGAATAAGAATCAACCTTCAACAACACTCCATTTGTTTTGGGTCGACAGACATCATTAACCCACCAATCTTTTCGTTATTTTATGAACTGCATTTTTACTGGAATAGATTTTTCCTCATTCATATTTTCAATTATTTGCGAAAATTTAACCCATTGTTAAATGAATTGACACATATTGTTGTTCAACTAGGCCTTTACATGAGAAAATGTGTTAAAGGAATATTTATCATCGCGAGTTATTGAAGTTATTTTTTATAGTACATGAGTATAGTGTATGCATTATTGGATTGTAAAACATGCATTTATTTTTCAACATTCGTCATTTTGCCAGATCAGTGCCCAGTATGACGTGATTTCTAAAAAAATCGCACCCATTATAGAAACATGAACTAGATAAAGCATGATGAAAACTGTTCTTGTAGTGGAAACGATAAAAAACATTTCTCAACAAAACGTGCGACTCAGACTTATTTCTGTTTATTTCGTAGAATTCGAGTTAATTTTCGAAGCTCAAACAAGTTTTTTGTTTCTGTTTTTTGGAAACGAAACTAGTCGCAAAGTCCATTTGGTGGAAATCTTTCTTAAAACAGTGAAAATTATAATTATTGAACAAAATCCGGAGGGGTTCAAAGGCCATGATCGAATAGTACCAAACGTTTTTTCTGAATCTGTGGCAATTATACATACAGGTCGATTCTTTTATTATGTGGTAACATTGCTCTTTCTAAACCGTAAAAGGTAAATTTCGTGAGCAACAGTTCAGTGTTCGAATAAAATTTACTCACATCATTATCGAGTTATACAGAGTCAAAGGAAGTTTTATCGTTTTCGAAATGTGCTGTAAGGATGTAACAATTAATATATGACTAAACGTTTCGTGTCAGCACGGCCTTCTTTAACTTTTTTTTTTCAATGCGGACTTGTCTCTTTCATGACAAACATTGATTAATCGTAATTCAAAATAAGAAGTGTTGCTACTTATCAGTGACAACAATTTTAAATTACGTTGTTGTCGTCAGTTCTTTTGTTTTGATTTCTTCAAAAAGTATTCAACTATTGGCATACTTCAGACAATAGCCAATAATTTCGATAAGAATATACCCAACACTACGAATCCTTTATGGAAAATTTTGTATTACAGTAATCCTTGTTTCAAGGAAGATTTCTCCTGGATCAATTTCAATACCGAATATTTTCATAATTCTCAATCCTGCGAGTATCAAAAATATTAGTTGCATTTGTGTACCATTTTTGTTAGACGTTAATGACGTTTGAATGACCAAATAACTGATATGCTATTTATTTATGCAAAATTAAATAGAAATCCTCTTTTGGCAAGAAATATGTATGGTGAGCTATACTTGAATCGTCGTATTCCGAAGTAAAAGAAAATTGGGAGACTATAGAGAATTTGACGGAAATAAAACCAGAAAAATGTGTTGTTACTGGAAGTTTGAAGAATCCAATAAATGTTTTGGGTAAGCAAATATCACCTCATAAACATTAACAGAGTGATTTTTTTTTCCATTTATGATTTTTATCAAGACTGTTCTTCACGAGAAATTGCCCATGAACTTGGGATTTCTATAAAATCTACCAGATGCTACCAGATACGCAGAGTTCATCCTAATGAGAGAGATTACGAAAAAAGAGTACGATTTTTGACGTGGTAGAGATGTTGTAATAGAAAAGTTACAAATATTGGTAAAAATATAACATGAACGGACGAATCATAATTCACCAAGAATTGGTTCAACAGAAATATTCGTTAAAAGTGGAATAATACAAATAAACATTCACATTGAGAAACCAATTCCCAGGAATGGTTCGGAATAAATATTTGGTTGGGAATTTTAGGAACAAACATTCTAGGTCCTTCCTTTCACGATGAGCCTTCGTATTATGAAACAAATCTACATTTTTCATACCATGAGTTTCATGGCTACTTAAATGAATTGCCACTGAATATCCGCCGTGTAATACAATATTTTAATGCTATATAAATGTAATACAATATTTTGACGCTATATGAATAACAAGCGTTATATACCACTGAACTGTGATGTTATCGTTCCGTCAATATTTGTAATAAAAGGAACAGGTAGGTATTTGAAAATACAGTTAATGGTGGCCGTGATAACGCGGAACGTTTGATCAAACATTCATTATTACATCGTTATAGTACACTTTGAACGAGATATAAACTTTTTCTCCTGTTTTTTAGATTATCTAAAATATTTCTATTTATCAAAAACAAAAAAGAACATTTTCAGTTTTCCACGTATAACTGGAGAAGGGCAAGAGTCTCTGTATATTTTTGTTGACCATTGTACAGTTACCCACGATAGTAACCTTTTTCCCATTTGATCATCTTCATATCTGTTTCGGTTCAGAATATAGCAATGAAACCTCATGATGAAATATATATAGTAACAAATCTGAAGCCGGCCCTGACCGATATCTCAGTCAGCAAACACATGACTCACCGCGAACTGCCGCGAAAAGTATAGATAGGTACCGAAACCACTAGAAGAATCTAGAACGATCGTTACCGGTCGGCTCCTCGTTCAGAGAGGGAGTCTGTATTTAGATACCGAATCGTGCATTTAAATAAAGAATTCGAACAGTGAAGATACATTGAGCGTTAGTTGCTAAGTGTTGAATATAAATTAGTTGTGATAGTGAAATATTGTTAAAAATAAATTTGTTTAAGACAGTTAATTTTTTAATTTGTCACAATATGAATATAGTATAATGGTAGTTGAATGTATCTATGATATCAAAATAACAAATGTGATGTGATTGAAAATCAAATCCATTTAATGGCAATTTTGAGTCCGGTATTGGTTCAGTTTTCATAAATCTGAATTCATTTGATTTTTTCTCCAAACTAATTTGGAATCATAGAAAGAAATCAACTACAGAGGCAATGTGGCATTCAGTATGGACTGGTGTGAATTTACAACCGATTTTCTCCTTACAAAAACATTCTTCAAAACTCAATTTTCAGCTTCGCAAGGAAAAAGAGGAATTGGAAAATAGTGTTGAATATTTACAAAATAATTTGCAGAAAATGCACAATGACTTGAATGAAACAAGGAAAAGCGAAAAGGTGATTACTAATTCTACATGAAGACCGATTTCCAAAACCGATCAAAGTATATATTTGTAGGAAGCTAAGGATATGTTCAACTCATGCCTGATTGAGAAAACAGGACTTGCTGAATTGAAGTTCGAACAGGAGAGGAAGATCGAAACATTGAACGAAGAAAAAGACAAACTCACTAAGGAAATCAATCACGTAAATTCACTGTGTGAAAAAATTCTTGCAGGTTTGAGAAATTCGACAGTTACGTCACATTGTTACGTTAATATTTATGTTTCCAGATTTTGAAACGAATATAAAATCTTCGATAGAAAAAGAGGATCTCTATAAAAAAGAGATTCAAGAGTCCAAACAGATGATCCTGGATAATAGTCGTGAAATTGAACAACTCTCCAATGTAAGTAACATTTTCAATACATGAAAAATGAATTATTCAACGTATTTTTCACAGGTTTTAACAACAAAGCAAAGCGAACTCCAGAACATCATTAGCGAATGTAATCATCTGAAACAGAAGGAAAAGCAGCACGTAGATGTAATGAGAGCTTTGGAAAATCAGAAACTGTGAGATCAAATAACAATATCATTCTCAGCAAATAATTCATTGTTGCATACTGTGATTTATAATCCAGTTGAGATAAGAATATTCGAAAGTGCATTGAAATTTTCAAATTTTCTGAATAATATATGATTCTAGGGATACGAAGGATTACAAAAACAAAAAGGAAAAGTTGGAAAATGAACTATTCGATCTGAAATCTGAACATGAAAATACTAAAATTCAGTTAGCTAATGCAAAGGAAGAGCTAGAATCACTTTATAAACAAATGAAGGTTATTATGGAGCAGAAAGAAGATGAATACCGATTCTATAAAAAACATATGGACGATACCTTCAGGTAAAATTTTCATTCAATCCATTTGGATATGAAAATGGAAAAGTTTCTAGAAAAAAATAAATCATATCGATATGAATTCTTTTCGAAAATATGTATTCCAATATTAAATTCTCTTTTATATATAAAAGAGTATTTTAACATATTCAGATAACACCTCATTGTGAGATTTTCACTGAATAGTTCACAAAACTGCGAACCTGTATCTCAATGTGCTTTTACAAAAGTTATAATTGAACACGCCTGAAGAATCTATTGTATAGTGAAACATGTGTTGCGGTTTTGAAAACTGTTCATTGACAGTCCCACAATCAAGTGGTACTTGAATATGATATCATTGATTTTTATCAAATATTCGGCTAATTTAATCATATACATTGATACAGTATCTATTATTAACTACTTGATCCTTCCAATATCAAATTGCACATGAAGAGTAGATGTATCTCATCCGTGATATGGAGTCGTAATGTTATGAATGAATCGAGTGCTTCATCTGGTAATTTTATCCAGAACACTGCTGATATGGTAACAAAACAAGTGTCTCTTTCCAAAACTTCGATGTTCGCCATTGATAATGATACTGTTCCATCTAAGAGAAATTTCAAATCGTTACTTTTTCATATATTATGTCGTGTAGCATTCCTGTGAATGATATCTGATTCAATTTCAAAAAGAATGGAAAAGAAGTGATTTTCGTATAATTAAATGTTCATATGGAAGTAGTGCTATCGAAAATACTTTTTTGTGCTGTCTTCATTCACTCAAAAGTTTCCCACTTTTTTGTATAAAGATGAAGAAGTAGAAATCCAAGAACCTTTCTCTCCCAATGTCTACTGAAAATATACCCCTTTCAATTCATTATGAAAGTCTAATGTCAACATGACTAAAATTATGAAAATTATGAAGTTCAGAGTCTCAGTGAAAAAGAATACGTTTTTACCTGAAATCCTGGGACCAGTTTGAGAGAAAACTTGTTTCCCGTAGATGAAATTTTACATGTTACTTTTTTTTTACTAATTGACCCGGTGAACTTCGTGACGTATAGTATTATTAAACGTTGTGTAAAGTTATTAAGAGTTTATATTGTGTTTGTTTCATATCAACACAGCCAGTATTGCCAGGTTATTTTCATGTTTAACAGTAGATTTTTTATGGATACAGAAAAACGTAAAAAACATATTTCATAGATTATAGTACTAGAGTAATCAGTAGAATTAATTTGCAAAGAGTATAATAGTAGCTCGAGAACCTAAACAGGAGATCTGCAACAAAAACATAGATCTGGCAACATTGACCATAGTGCTTTCCTTCTGCGGTTTCTTTTTCATCTGCAGTGGATCGATTCACAATATTCGGCAGTCTAACTATATTACGGCTTCATTTTGAAAGATTCGATCTTCTCACTCGCGGTTACAGTTACAGAATAGTTCTGTAACAGTTCCGACTAATGGATTCCTAATTTTGGTGTTCTCAATAAATTTTCCTCAGCTGTTTCATTCGTGAATGTGATTACAAATATTGAAATTGTAGATGAAATAAGGATTGAGACTGAGGTAGGTAACGTAAACCTGATAGATTGCACATCTAACACAAATAAAAGATGTTATTAGTGTGCATATGCGAATCGAAATATATTACCGGAGCCTTCTACAATGTCTAAACACTCTGAACTGATGAATGCCGTATTGGAATAATTCCCAGTCGGTTATAGTTATGAATGAACAAAAACACTTTGGAGACGATAACAGAACTGTTATTATTCTGAATCAACAAAAAAAAATAACTGTTCATGATCGAACTATACCGAACTCAAAACCAACACAAAACTATATCTATTCCTCATCTGCAGTTGATTAATTCACCATATTACACACACCGATTTTGGACGGCCGATTTTATACCGGTCGTCCAAATTCCAATAGTGAACCACATGTGGGAACGGGACTTGGCACACATGCTTACCGGTGATCGACGCCAATCACCGGTCGGCGTGTGTGCCTGGTCCCGTACCCACATGTGGTTCACTATTGGAATTTGGACGACCGGTATAAAATCGGCCGTCGAAAATCGGTGAGTGTGCATTTAGCGTACCGGTGATCGGCGCCGTTAAAATACCGGTGACCAGCCTTCCACTGCCATTGTATCGCCGGCAGTACCGGGAAGTAGTGGCGTACATGACTAAATACACTCTTGCATACTCACCGGTTTTTTACTGACCATTCCAGTCTCGAATGCTCGGTGAAATTGTAGTTACTACGCATTAACTTCGTTTTTCTAGTGCGTGCTAATCACGACAACAGAGCAACTGATTGTTTGACCGATAAAAATCCGGTGAGTGTGCAAGCACCCGCCACCAATAAAGTATCGGCCGATTTTATACTGGCCGTCCAAAATCGGTGTGTGTGCAACTAGCGTTAGGTATCACGACATCGTTGCGAAAGATTCGATCTTATCGCTCGTGGCATTATAAATAACACTGGATATCTTCGCAGTCAACGGAGATACCAAGGATGATATCTGTCGCAAGAGCAGACAAAACGTTTGGTTCCACAAGTTCCATTCACCCACGGCCTACCAGTCCGGCTTTTGTTTTCTCTAATTTACTTTGCTTCTATTATGACAAAACAATTATTCAGACACAACCAATCACAAATGTCATAATCTCAATTGTCTTCGTGCGCACCATGACAACTGTTATAACCTAACAAATAGAACGTCGTCAATTTGTTTAGTATTTAGTCGTTTTCTTATTTTTTCGAATGTTCGATAGTCATTCTGCTATTCCGGGTGGAGTCAAATTCGATAAATCAAAAATCATCAAAATCGGTCCAGCCGTTCTTGAGATACACTTTTTTATGTATACTAGATGTTGTGTAGCGTTTTTCATGAATATCCACTTCGGTTTTTGTTATACTTGTTCAGGTTCAGTATATGATATGGGAAATGACAATGGAATTGTTGTTATATGACAGAATTAGCCGATACTTGATAAAAATCTACGATTAATGTATTTAATAATAATACTCCGAAATAAGATTCTGTAGACAGTTTATAAAACACATATTTCAACTATAATAGCTTCTTCAGGTATTCACAATACCTATTGTCTTGAATAATTGTAAAGCTGATAGTAGCGTATCGCTGTTCCCTTTAAAATAATTCAGTTGAAATAATGCACAGACGCCACTGACGAGAATTAAAAATTATCTTGTACGGCCTTTTCTTGTGTAGGAGAAATTGATTCTTTTTTTATATATTTGAATTATTCTGATCGAATCATTAATACTGAGCTTACTCCTATTATTACTTCCAGATGGTTAATTACTGGACGAGTTGCTCTGCTTCATAGTACCTAATTGTTTTCCTTTTTATGAATTCTAATCACTGCCCTATAGAAATGGACACAACATACGAATATTTGTGAAAATACAATTGCACAAATCAATTTAATGCAGAGAGCAACAGTCTGTTGATTACCACTAGATGGTGATTACGTCAGCAGTAGTTAGGGTCAGCGGCCATGGATATCCTTCTAGATCTACCTCCTCTCCACATTTTTCTGGAGAGAGAGGCTAGATAGACTGCATATAGACTTGTGCACATTGCCAATTGCACAAATCAATTTAATGTAGAGTGCAACAGACTGTTTGTTGACACTGGAATTCACAGCATTCTGGAAATGACCTCTGACTTTATGCCTCCAACTGTCAACTACTAACTGCCTTATAAAGTACTGTTCCCGAATAGAGAGGACTGGATCCTCCGGGAGAAGGAAATATTAAGAGCAGATTGGTTCACAGATTGAACAAAAACACCTACCGGTTCTGGTGCAGGTATTTTCAGTCTCAGCCCCAGGTCAGAGATATCAACCTGCCTAGGAACCTATGCGGCTGCATTTCAAGCGAAAATTTACACAAGGCAATAAAAATATTCTCGGAAAGTCAAGCTGCGTTGGAAGCTCTTGGCTCCTACCGAACAACGCCTAAATTGGTAGCCAATTGCCAAAAAAGACTCTCCTCGATAAAAAGACTTAACAGATTATCTCTAGTCTGGATTCCTGGCCATACTGGCCTGAAAAGCAATGAGGCTGCTGACTACCTTGCAAAGGAGGGTGCTGCAAGCAACTTCATAGGACGAGAACCTGTAATTGGCATCGCTTTAGGCTTTCCAAAACAAAGATTGAACACGTGGATGGCAAGAAAATGTGTGGACTTCTGGCAGAATATTCCAGGATTGGTTCACTCCAAGGCGTCTATTCACTCTTCGAAGCTTGATACCAAACAGTTGTTGGATTACAGTTGGGATGAACCACGATTTCTAACAGGCCTTCTTACAGGTCACTGATATTTGAATCATCATATGCAGACACTTGGACTGTCGAAAGACAGTGTGTGTCGCCTCTGTTTGGAAAATAATGAAACAGCATTCTGCCTCGCTGGGGACCGAATCAGATTTCTAGAGTTCGGCAGAGCCGTACTCCTACCATCTGACCTGAAAGACCACTCACCATACAAACTAATCGGCTTCGTTAAAAAGCTGTGTTTATTTGGTCGAGTGTGAATAGGTGTGAGCCACAATAAACACTTGCGGGTTGCGGTAGAGGGTCAAATAGACCCACTCACTTTGGACCTAACCTAACATAACCTAAGTTCATTTCAGTAGCCCACATTTACATATTTTCTTTCACATGTTTCTTGGAAAAACAGTTGTTGTTCAATTACGCATAATACATTGAAAATGTACCAGAAAATCATTTCTCATTTGTAGCCAAAATGAATCATTACAAGAAAAAAATAGAGCTGAATTGAACGAACTTAAACTTCATTTGAACGATCTCACACATAAATTAGAGAACGAACGTTCTGCATACTCCGCCTTATCTCAGATACACAAGGATGTATCTGCTAAGTTCATCAAAAGCATCAAAGACGTAGTTGACGAGAAAAGTGCCAGACAAGAAGCAGAAGCGAAACTAGAAGAGGCTCAACAAAACCTGGAGATTCTCAAAACTGAAAAGGTGAGTGAAGTGTGGAACATTGAGTTCTAGCATATTATTATAACCGATAAGTCATTAATTATTTCATTTATTTGAAGTGTGTCACTTAAAGAGATTGGAAGAATTCAACTTCATACACAAATCAATAAAAATATTCTCGGACACTCAAGCAGTGTTGCAAGGATCCTCTTGGCTCCTACCGAACAACATCTAAATTGGTAGCAAATTGCCAAAAACGACTCTCCTCAATAGAAAGACTCAACAGATTGTCTCGTCTGGATTCCTGGCCATACTGGGCTGGAAGGCAATAAGGCTGTTGACTCCCTGGCAAAGGAGGGTGCTACAAGCAGCTTCATCGGACCAAAACCTGTCAATAGCATCGCTTTAGGCTTTGCCAAACAAAGATTAAACACCTGGATGGCAAGAAGATTTATGGATTTCTGGCATAATCTTCCAGGATTGGCTCATTCCAAGGCGTTTATTCACCCTTTGAAGCTTGATAATAAACACTTGTTGGACTACAGTGGGGATGAACTACGATGCCTAACAGGCCTTCTTATAGGTCACTGTCATTTGAATCATCATACGCAGAGATTCGGACTGTCGGAAGACAGTGTGTGTCGCTTCTGTTTGGAAAATGATGAAACAGCATCCTGCCCCGCTGGGGACCGAATCAGATTTCTAAAGTTCGGCAGAGCCGTACTTTTACCATCTGATCTGAAAGACCACTCACCATACCAAGTAATCGGCTTCGTTAAGAAGCTGAGTTTATTTGGTCAAGTGAGAGGTCGAATAGACCCACTCACTTTGGACCCAACCTAACCTAAATACTTTAAGAAAAACTAAAATTGAACGGTTCAACCCAATATCACATCTTGGAATACTATGCATAATACCATAATGAAGAGGGTCACAAGCTATATAAACACCTAGAAAAAAAAAAGAATTGTAAAATATAGGGTGTTTGAAGATCAATGGTACAAATTATAAATAACCAAAAAAAGTCGTAACAAATTTACTTATTGAAACAATATGAAAGTGTGACAAAATTGTCATTATTTCATGTTTGTTTTATGAGCAAAATTTTTATGATATTGAGAAATAATGAACCGTAACATGAAGTGAATGATTTCATTTTCTCACTAATATATTTGTGAAACAACAAAAGATTCGATTTGTTTTTTCGGAAAAGTATTTGGGAAATGAGGTTGAGGCTATATAATTGAAATGTGATCTTAATTTGTATATTCGTTTCAAAGTATCGCAAAAAAGAATTAATTTCAGTGGTCTTCAATGTCAATTTTTCTTGAAAAACAGTAAAAAGTATTAAAATCGTTAACCATTTCTTACTAATATCGAAGTACTCCAAATTAAGATATAATTTTTATTGTCTAATATTCAAGAAATCAGAAAACATAACAAAGTATTCTTTTTTTTTCAGTCCGATTTGCAACAACAGGTCAATATTCTTCTTGATGGATTGAACGATGAAAAGAATCGAATAAATACATTAACACAAGAAAGGGATAATATTCAAAAGTCCTTGGAGGAATTGCAGAAGAGACATAATGAAATACTCAGAAAATGTTTGTCTTTGGAAAATCAAGTAAGAAGTTTGTGAGCTTGTAATCATAACTCATAATACATAATAATTAATAATATACTTTGTTGAAAATGCTAATTAAACTCGAAATAATAATCATAATAATCCATAGTGAGGAATGAGTTCAAATTTCATTAGAACTAATAATAATAGTTGATGAATTGATGAATTACAATTTGAACGACAAAAATCAGGTTTACTTCATACAGAATACATCAATCTCTGTTATTATTCTGAAGTGAAGGAAAATATGCACATTCATAAAAAACATATACTCATTCCCAAATACAAAAATGAATGAAAAACCTAGACATATCAATAAATTAGTAAGAAAAAGACTCCTATAGTTTTTCTATGAAGATGGAGAAGTAAAAAGCCAAAATCTTTCTTTTCCAAAAATTAATCTTTACTAAAATATGGCGCTTCCAATTAAAAGTGTGTACGGTGTTTTGAGAGGAAATTGAATATGAGGTTTTATTTGACGATGTTTCTGTCACGAGAATTTTTTCCTGAGCCTGTTTTCAATGATATTATCGGCTGAGATATTTGTAGCTGAGAAATTATATGAGCAGGTACCGACGAATATATACTGCAGAAAGACATTTCCGTTAATGAGAAATATTCCTGGTAATAAAGCGAATTATAATTTCAACTGTTGAATTTTTTTACAGATTAGAGGGGCAGATCTCACGAAGGACACAGAAAAAGAAACTTTAAAGGTACTAGTTTGATTGTTTCCACATTAGTTTTAATTTACATACTTTGAGTGGATGTTACGATACACATGAGTAAAAAAGGTGGGTGCTCTCAACAGAGTCCGGTCTGAGCACTATATTTTTTTTATTTAGGGATTATTTACCAAAAGAGGAAGATTTTCCTCTTAAAGATGATCACTTGGTGATCTAAACACGTGTCGAGGTGTTAAAATAACGGTTTTTATCATCATAATGATCTCCTGAGGATGCTAACTTGATTAGCGAAACGTGCGTCGAGAGACCGTAATTTTGTTCTGGTGTTAGGAAAGAGTTTTAGATAAATTTATTTTACGCCAGAGGTTCCAGTACGAACTATCAAGTGTTAAACATCTCCACTTGGGGTAGATAAATAAACAAATATTAGAAAGTTAGGAGAACAAAACTTTTTAAATTGCCAATTCCACCCTCGTAGTGGTGAGATCTTAACTTTTGACATTTAAAGTCCGATAATTATTGTAAACGTATTGAAAAACCATTTATTAGGTATATTCATTATGAAATTTAGAAAACTTACAAAACCGCAATACGTATTTCACTATACTATTATACCATAGTGAAACACTTATTAATGGTAATAAATGAAAAAAGAGATACTGTGTGTGTTTCACAGTTTCATTATTCAATAATCTATGTACATGGTTTTGTTTTAATTTTCGAATTAATTTGTTATTTACTATGTTTCCTAATAGAAAAAAGTTTTAAAAATACTAACAAAGTACTCGAACAAAAGTTTGTGATTTTATTATGATTTGAAGAAATAGCCAGGTTTATGATACTTTACCAGGTCCACACTATTTTTATATCGCAAACGGGTCGCAAACAAAGGATTTTATGAGCTTTAGGTTTAATCATATATTCTTTATGTTTTCATTTATATATAATTATCCTTGATAAAGCAGTTCAATTTCGAATATTTAAATAATAATAAATAGGTATACTTAGTCGAGGAGACGTTAGGTATCAGCAAAAATAATGTTGTGTTTTCATCTGATTAACCCGAAGAATCTTCGTCGAATGTTACGATCAAAAGTTATATAATTTCCTCAAGTGGAAGCATTTCGTTTGTGTGCCATCTTTTCGGCTACGTATTCCGTGAAACAGGGTACATTTGAACATACTATAAACAATGGATTCCGCTTTGTTTTGTGCATTAGTTAGAATTATTTCAAGTTTTCTGGAATGATAACTTGCATTACTCATCACAATCACAAAGTTAGCTGAAATGAAGTTAAATATTTGCTCAAAGTATTTTTCAAACTTATCGTTGTTCATGTCTTCTCGATAATCAGCAGAAAAGCTTTTACTCAAACATCAATATACCGCACTCAACAAAACCATCAACACTTCCAATATAGATAACAAGCAATGTCCATAAAGGTACATAAAGGAGTATCCGCCCGCTACCTTGTCACGTCTTGTGGGAAGTTCTTCTCCTGGTAACTGGTGACAATTCAGAAATTCATCGACAATTAAGCTGTTACTATTGCGTCCTACCATGGAAATGGAATACCTGGAGCTTGGGATGCAGCAGCCAATGTACTTCTCTTAAGTTTTTCCAAATTCTGATGCTCCAGTTCAAGTGATCTCGAACGCCAATCTCTTTTTTCGTCGGATGCAGGACGTGATCGACTATCCCTCTCTGCTACAGTTATAGCATTTAGGCCGCCCTCTTGCCTTGGGGGCAGTTCATTCATTAAATATTTTTTTAAGAGTTCCTCCAGACCTACCATGAGTCGATCTGTTCCTTTGTTTTCCTTCTCGTTGATGGTCCTCACTAGAACTTTTCGTTGTCGATGGCTTCATAAATGATGGCTCCATTCAATTTTTTATGACGTGTCATCTTTAGCCACTGCTGCAGCTCCGTGTCATGGCCCCGTCTATGAAACTATGAACACTAATCCAGTGGGTGGAGTTATCAGGTGCTTCTGGGTAGACGAGTCTTACCGACCTTTCGACCTCAGCCCCAAACTCCTGCAGACTCTCGGATGCAGAGTTCTCGCACCTTCAGTAAAGTTTGGTAGACTTGTGGAAGGTGCTCACTACCAAACCTGATCACCAAAGCTTATACGACTACTTCATAGCCCTTCTGCCCATTCACTAGAATATTTTGCAGAATTTCAGAGGCCTTTTCTTGTAGTCCAGTATAAGAGCTGTTGCTTTCTCCTCATTTTTCGACCTATCATTTTCCGCAGCAGACTCAAATTGTCTGTGATCTTTGTATTTCTTCACAGCGATCCTCTTTGGCTCTGGTGATTCTGTCCTAAAATGCTTTCCAAAAGACTTCCTGAATAAATTCCTGAACCTCTCCTTCACTCATTTGGGAAGATTTCAAATCTTCTAATAAATGAAGGTACATCTGATTGTCTTTTTTTTGTTTTTTCTGAATATTCACCAACAATTCTCTATATTTTTCTGTTATTTCTGAATATTTACAAATAATTTACGATCGTACTCTCTGTCTCATTTCTGTTCATCCAATAATTTACGATCTTCCTCTCTTCTGGTTCATCTTCTTCCCGTCTGCGATTTTCATTTTTTCAAGTTTGTTCATCCCGTTGTAATTGACACTTCTTGTTTTCACCATAAAATAGAAAATCTTCAGTCAATTATTTCACTTCCGACACCAAATGTTACAACCGAATAAATACAACCAACCACTTTAACTAAAACTTCAACTATTATTTGAATGTATATTGCCTTGTTAGATCGCCCTGTATCGCACTGTCCACTTAACTTGACTATATGAGTTGACTAAATCGATATGCTCGTAGGTAGCGTTTATATATGACAATCGAAGAACCTCAAAGGTGGTAAAATATTCGCTGGAGTTCCATCGAAACGGCGCGAATATCGATCAGCCGCGAAACGTCGCGAAAATCGATCAGCCGCGAAACGTCGGCCGGGCTGGGCAATGTCACAATTGATTTATGGCTACCAGCGGCGGCCGGCGTTATTTTCTTTGGGACATGATTTACAACAATATTATCTCATATATTCGTTCAAATAATATCTATTGTTTTAATTTTCCAGGAGCAAATAGATACACTGAAAAGAGAATCCGAAGATAATCAAGATTTGATTTTTAGTCTCAAACAAGACCTCACTGATGTTAACCAGAAAATCACAGGATTGGAATTTCAAAAGTACATACTTGATCTATAACTTTCCAATAACTAAGATAAAGACTTTATATAAAAAAAATTATCGGCGGAATCATATACATTGTGTCCTCAGAGTTTACAAGAGAGTTTTTTGTCACAGAGTTACAAAAAATTATACTCAAATTGATCTATTTTAATCCAATTCACAAATTTTTCATTTCATGTTACTTATTCATCTACAGAGTGATATAAGGAATTAATTTCGCTCAATTTAAATAAAAAAATGTTAATAGTGGATCTGATTAGACCATTTCCAACACAAGTACATATTATGGTGATTTGTTCAAGTTGGAGTTATATTCTAGTAGAGTAGAGATTCGAGAGCAAGTCATTTTTCTTGAGTTACTAGCCTGAAAAAAAACTACGAATTGGGGTGGAAGTAACCAGGTTCAATTCAATGCCACGGAAACCCAGGCATCGGTTTTTCCAAAAAAGATAAATGTCTCCGAACCAGATATAATAATGTCATGACAGACAATTTTGCTTCGATAAGTTTGTTGGATGGAATGGACACCAGTATGTCTCCGTACAATCATGTCACTGGAATTGCAAAGTCTGCACCTCAAAAGCTTGGAACACTGTTCCGAGCCAGAAAACTGTACACACCTCAGCAACTTTTGATGCTTTATAAAGCTCAGATTAGACCTTCTTTGGAGTATTGTTCTCTTTATGGAGCTCCGCCCCTAAGCATATCCTGAAGCTGCTGGTTTCCTTCCAGGAAAGAGGCATCCGCCTGATTGGAGACGCGAACATCACTGGCAACCTTGATAGTCTGAAACATCGAAGAAAAATTGGAGATTTGACGACTCACCTACACCAACCAGCTACCGTCTCATCGAAGAATACCTCCCCTGTTTTTATGTGAACACGTACATTCATTGAGATTCAGTGAAGATCAACACAATTATAATACAAATTTTCTGAGAGGTGCAAAAACCAGCGTGGTAGTTTTTCCACCCTCTCTACGCGTAGTCTCAAACCTCTCGATATATATTTTTTTTTTATGAAAATAGTGTAGATTGAAAATCATCTTATTAACGAAGATAATTCAACTCGATCAACGCAATGATTTTCAGCTATATTTGATTCTCATATTTCATTTGCAGATCAGAACTTATACTGAGATTGCATGAAATGCAACGAAAATTCGAAACGGAAAAAAGCCTATGCCAACAGCTGAAGAATACGCACAAACTAATTGTCACTGAAGTTCTCAAACTGAAAGATGGTGGGAATGTCAATGGTCAGAGTTGTAACAGTTTATTACTTTTAGTACAAAGCAACGGTGACGTCTGTGAAATTGAACAAAAATAGAGTTTGAGAATAAAAATCTGTCAACATTAAAACGATTGTTCTTTTTAATGGTCTTGGAGGGAACTACATTACTGACTAATACAATTTTTTGTACGATTTTTTTTAGAGATCGACTTCAGATTTATTGTTGCGGTGCAAAACAAAAGAACTATGAAAGCTCAGCAGGAGTTCAAATTGGCGGACTGTGATGGATACCATATATTACAGATATATTTCATATTTTGGTATTGAACTGAAGGAATCAATATACAATAAATTCACAGCACGGCGTATTACAAAGTGAGCCAAATTCTGAAAAGGCAGGATATAAGGATAGTATTCACAGAGAACGATCGAATTTCCACTATTCTATGAACACCTGAAGACACGATGCCTAATGAAGCACATACCAATAGAAGAGTCTCCAACACAGCCTATGAATATGAGTTTGCTGTTCGTAAATCAGATACAGTTCATTTCTCTTCAAACATATTCATGAAACTGGTTACACAATAATCCACCGAAAAAAATTCTCCGGGCCAGGATAATTTGCGAAACTATTGATACTGAAAAATGCAGACAAAGTGCGAAAACAACTCCACAAACAAATACTCCGGGATGGACGTCGGAATGATAAATAAATATCTTCCGAAGTGGTGCATATGACATGTTTAGGTGAAAACACCGTACTCGTGCCTCTCATGTAAACCTACGACTTTGTGTGTACGTGTGAGAGATACCTACTGGAAAAACAAAAACTTACCCAAGCTAATTCCACGCAGAAAGCTAAAGTAAAACCATCAGGCACCTGTGCAACGTCTTCCATTTGGAAAATTTGTTGCAGAAAAAGTAACTTCCTAATATATATGAAAAACAGAAATTCATTTGGTCGGGACGACCACCGTAGATCAGTTTTGGAGAACCTGCTCCTCGTCAGTACCTGTAGGATCATTTCAAATGAGAGTCATGTGTATAATGATATTTTCACCTCAACATGAGCTTGTCATATGCACCTCTTCGGAAGATATTTATCATTCTGACTCCCACCTCGGAGTATATGTTTGTGGAATTGTTTCTGGAATTTGTCTGAAGGTGGCGCAATGGTACATCCTACTGAATCCCCTGCAGATAGAGTTGGAAATTATTTTGTTTATTCGGGTTACTCAGACGGTTCACTCCGTGAAATGACGTCTGAGTGAGTGACTGACGAAGGAATATAATATTCGTTAGAAAATGTCCTTATAGAATGAAATTATTACAAATAAAAAGTGGTAAAAAACATGTGAAGTTTCGATTCTTATTTTACATTTGTTTTCTTGAAACATTTCTTATTGGTGTTTTAAGGCTCTTATTTTCATTCAATACTGTCTTAATAGAATTATTGTGTATTGGTATTATTGAAACATTATATGTATTATTATAACATCTATTTATCCATCACATCATCCGTCTATCCGCCCATCCATCTCTCCATCCATTCGAACTGGCGGAGATCTCTAAAATTGGCTAAGAGGTACTGCTCCTCAAGTGACCCTTCTGTTCTGTGATGTGCACAGACCATATACCCTAGACGGTTCACGTAGGTTACTTCACCTTCAATCCTTTTTTAGTACCGATACAAATCTTAAGATGGCACTGTAAATTTGTTCTTTGGTTTTATGTCACGGACCCACATATATTCTTGTGGTTTGTGATGTATGTCAAAAATAATAAGAAGAACATGTGCATAATATATAAAAGATGGTCATGTGACTCATGTCATTCATGTGTTGTTGGTCTGTGGTGTTGTTGTCTGACTGTGTACCGTAGTGATTATTTACTTCATTATTTTGATTGTTTTACAATGGTTCACCACAACAAATGTTACGTTCCTTATTGCAAAAGTATATCTAGTATAAGACATGCGTTCCCTAATCCAGATAAAGATAGGTTCAAGAAATGGATACTGGTAATTAATAACTTGGAACTGATGGAAATGGACCCAAAAGAAGTTTACGGTTCTAGAAGGCTGTGTGATAGTCATTTTGAGGCAAAATACATTTCTGCTTGGTCTCACAGGTTATTTGGGAACGCTGTTCTAACTCTAAATCTTCCTGGTGAGTAAAAATGTTAATTCGTGAAACTTAAATGAAACAGACTTTTTTATAGGTTCAACAGGCCCAAATGATGTATATGATACTCCATCAACATCTAAGTCTTCAAATAGTTCTGCTCAAGAAAGTACTCAATTTGATGAGTTAGTCATTGAGATTTCAGAATTGAACGAATCTTCTCACAGTATTGAAGGTAATGAATATAAACATACAGACATATATCAAATTGTATGTTCTCAATGAATTATCATTCACACCAAAATTTGTTAATTTCGTTTAGAGAATATGGTGGATCTTTCGCTAGAAGATTGTGTTACCCAACGTTATCATTTCTCACTTCTTTTTATGATATTGTCCAAGTGATAAACTATTGTTTAGATAAACAACCATACTCCAAACATTTAATTTGTTATAAAATTCACCATAACAACTATCATATATAATTGGTGCAAGCGTGTAAATCAAATTATACAGGGAAAATCGAAACTGTATACAGGTACAAATGTAATTAAATTACAAGCCAATAAAATTCGTTTAAACAGAATAAAAAAATGTTAGGAATAAAAAATCTATAATAATTCAGCTGTTTTTTTTTAAACCTTATTACGCTGCAACATAAAGCAGTGGTTAAGAATTTGTTCTAACTATAATTTTTACATTGTTTTTGGAAATTTCAGCGTATTGTTTAAAGTCCACACAACACTCAATATAAAGTGTAGTTTGAGACTCTAAACAATACGCTGAAATTTCCAAAAAACATTTGAATAAAATGAATATTCCAACTATATACAACATTTGAATATTCCGCGTCCGTCACAATGGTACTGATACAAATCTTCAGATGGCGCTTTTTTCCGTCTCTGTTGTCTAGCATTGCCGTGAACCGTCTAGGGTATATGGTCTGTGGTGATGTGTCATGGTATGATAACCCGTGCGTTCCACTAAGCGCTCAAAACGATCGAAATGCTCCTTTAGCCGTTTCACATAACGACAGCGGTTGTTGTCGTGGCGAAAACGTCACTAATGACGTTCGTTTTTACTTTCGCCCACGGCTAGCTCACAGCGACCCATCTGAAGATGTGGGTCTTGACCCACATCTGAATGTCATATTCAAAGCTTGAATTTTTTGTTTGATACAGCTATAACAGTTCCATAAGTTTCTACTATGAAAAAGTTACTGTGATGGCAAAACATGTCACGATATATTTTTGAAAATAAACTTTATGAAGATCAATTCGGTAGGTGTAGTTTATAAAAGTAAAACTTAAAGATAGCGACAAGACAAATCACCGATGGTGCTCTTGCGAAATCTACATTATAAGATGTGATAGAAAATCATGCACTTTAAATGACTTTTGAATTCTTCATCTGAATAACGATAAATCACATTCTCATAATCAATAATACGAGGCCTAAATTTCGATTACATTCAAACTTAATTTGTTTGATAATTTCACTGAAATTATATTTCAAAAATTGCATTATACTTATTTTTTATTAAGTGGAACGCATTAAATATTATTTGGGCGTGACGTCACTTTCACATTAATTTCACCTACCCATCACACATCTTGGCCACTGCGTCGCGGCAAGTGACAAACCAAATTCCAAAATTTTCGTCTAATAATATGCAACACGTAAAACATCTGACGTTTAGTGCATGAGAGATGTAAATGCCAAAACAATATGCAACACGTAAAACATCTGACGTTTAGTGCATGAGAGACGTAAATGCCAAAACGTTCATCTCGTCATCTTTTTTTGAGTTATTGGAGTCGATATTTTCTCTTCAATGGTCAGTCCATATTTATTTTTACGTCACTGTAGACAAACAACATATATATTCAAAACACTGCCTCCTGATAGTCCTGATTTCGATTTTACTTTCTTTTTCTCGTTCAACAAATTATCGATTTTTTTCATGACCCTGTTAAAAGCCGATGAATAAAGGTAAAGGAAAGGTTTCATGATTTCATTGAATTCAGATTTCATGTGCGTCATAGGATAAAAAAGGAACACTGGTAAATGTAGAATCTTGTCTACAACCCTGCAATGGAAATTTAAATTTATTGTTATTTGATGTTGGATTGGAAGTAATCAGCTTTAGGGAAACTCAATAATGGCCAGTAGTGCTAAAGAATATAGAAGCACAATCCAGAGAGAGGTCGAATATGTTGATGATGTTTGTCCAACAAATACTTAAAAGATGAATTCAAATTTGAAATGATGGTTGAATGTGGGGGTTACAATTATACTAGCAAATTTAAAGTGAGGATGGCATAGGTGTTCTTTCCCATTATCTCAAATCTGAGAAGTGTGTGGAAGTAGGAAAAAGAGGTTCACAATGTGAGGAGTGTACCAATTTCAATAGTCCAGCAGACTTCAGCCCAAAAGGTTTCAGATCCAGCTATAACTTTCGAGACCAAAAAGAGTTGGGTGTTGTACAAGGTAAAAATATGATTTGAAACTAGTTGCTCTTGCACTAGGTAACACCTGTTCATTTGAGGTTCACCTTTAGAATTATTTATGGTCAGTCGAGAATTATTATATCTAAAGTTACACAGTGTAAGAGTTCATGATTTAACATACGACTGGATTGTATTTTCTCAACAAATGGTACCCAAATAATAATGATCAATTCAGAAAGTTGAACTATCTAATTGGGTGTACTTCAAGGATTGATTCTGGAATCATGTTTTCATTCTCTTTCATTGATATTGACAACCCTTTCACAATTCAGAAAATATTGATTTGGGCTACTGTATCAACACTGATGTCTTAGGTGATATAAAGAAATGAACACTTCTTGCCTAAAATATCACCTTAGCCCCAAATGTAGCCCAGAGGGGGTGACTACTCATTACAAAATGTACATGTATTGCGGAAATCCCTTATGTTTCCGGTGATTACCTGTAAATTACATGAGATTTCTGGGTATTGATGAGGATTTTCTGAAACCCATACAATTTACCTAAATATCAACAATGACATATTTCAAATTGTGTTAAATGTCAAGTATCTGGGTTTTATGTGGGACAACTAAACACATTTTGATTATATTCTAAAAAAAATCCCAAAAAAACTTATTTTTTTCACATTTTGATGATTGTTTTCCAATTTTGTATTTGTTCAGTCAGAGTAAATTAAATGTGTTACAAAAGTTGCAAAATCATGATTTTAAAACACCTGAAAATGGTCCAAAGCCTTTTACCGTAAAGGTCTTAAAGGCCATGATATTTCCTCTTACGAATACGCCGTCTGTAGGATCGACAGAAGACAATCCACAAACATCAAGGATAAATGAGGCTTCCAGAAGCGGTCCATTACCAAGCCAAACTTTGACATCAACGTCTTTCACTGCACGGCAACTATCTGGTATTAGATTACGAGCTTTCGGGTTGTGGAGAGAACGGATCTCGTTTGGCAGTCGATGTAAAAATTTTGCTTTGCAACTTGCAACAGACCGCCTTGGGAAGCCTTGTGTATCCTGATTATTCGTGCATTGATTCTTCCGTTGAACCCATAGATGGCATCTTCATAAAGGGACATGTCATCATCTATATTTTCATGCTTGTCTTTTAAAGACAGTTGAATGGTTCAGCCCAGCACCTTTGTAGATCAAAACAGCGGTGTCTGGTGTGCGATGTCTCAGGCTCCAGTTCCATCTGGTTTCCTTGAAGTGAAACTCAGAGACCGAATGTTGTTGTGTGGTTGACGTTGAATGAACCATCTTGAAGATTCTTGTTCGTTGATATTAATGTTTTGAGTCTTTGTGGTATTCGTGGATTGAGTGTGCTTAAAAGACATTACCAACATATAGTGCACATTAGTGCGAGCAGAGAGTAATATGCAATTATTCAAGAACAATGAATTATCTGTTCCATAATGGTTGTTCAGAGTTCAACAAACTTCCAGCTTAACTGAAGCTAAGTAATACTTTGTCTAACTTCAGCGTTTGTAAAAAATCTCCAATTTTGGTTTCATATTATTCGTTCAAAATAAATCTTCCTTAATAATCTGAAAAAAAGCCTATCAGTTTTTTGTAATGTAAAAAAAAAATCATTCACAAAATGCTCAGCCTATCATTTCAAGATTTATAATCAGAATATTTTTTGTATAATAACGATAAATTGTTGAAGGCAGATAAAATATGGATCATACCAATTTTTTGTTTTGATATCACAGATTGTGGAATGTTACTAAAGCATACGTTTTCAACTAACATTCCCAACAGAGTCCAAAATACCAAATAACACAAGTAACACTGAGTTATGTGTAGATTCTCATATAGAGTACAGAAATTTAATATTTTTTGCTAAATTACTTCCTTGGGTTGCATTTTTGACGCAGTTTTGGGGTACTTCACCCATCAGGACTGGCTCCAAAAATAGAATGATGTTCATTGATGAATATTTCATAAGGTTACATTTTTTAAACATTCAGTGAACATTCTAAGTTACCTTCATGTGCGATATCTGGAACATATTGTTGATAGCTGATTGTGAATAGGGCATATAGATCATTTTGAAGGTTAGTTATAGAATCTAGAAGTTTATCCACAGGTAAAGCCATGCTTCCTATTTCAAAGTACTTTTTTACTATTAAGACTTTAGATTCTAAACTGAGTTTTGTTTATTATCCAAAATTGTGTTGCTTCGATTTTCTGTTGAAGATTGGATGTTCTCTGCCAAAGAGACGACTTTCTAATATTTCTTGTTGACTAAACATCTGCTTTTTCGCACAAGCACTACTTGAAGGCAAATTTCTCATTGAAACTTTAGAATACCTTCTTGGTTAGACATCTTTGTTATGCAGGTTGCTTTCACGCTTAGAGTTACGTTACGTGTTGAATATTTAATTCTCCAAGGACCATTATTATTTTTGCACAATAAATGTGGGGAATTATTTCATAAAACTCTATTCATTATTAACTTTGACATAATCAATTCTCAAAAAATATTTTTTCAAGGGTCAGAAAAAACTAACTTCATATCATCAATATACAAAATGATGCACATGCATTAAACATATTTTATATTCTTCATAATTGGATTCAACAGGCAGTAAAGCAGCATGTATTGATTTTTTTTTCTTTGTCAACCCAAATTTTTTCTCAGAAAGTAGGTTGTATTAGTTGTTGGTCATCTTGTTTTTGTCTCTTTTTCTATAAACAGCCACTACACTTTCTTTGAAGACTTGTGACTAGTTTAAGATCTCGGTACTTATGCCATCTACCCCAGAAGATTCTCTAGGTTTCAGCTCACCAATGATAATTTTCATCCCAGATGCATATATTGCTGCTAGAAAAAATGAGTTATGACTAGATCTTCTTGGGGCGACAGTGGGGATTCTACTTTATATTATTCATTAAAGTTGAATCTGTTATTATGAACGTTTTGTTGTATTGGTTACTTTAAGCTGTTTTATTTTTTGTAGGATTAATTTCCTTATTCATTCGCTAAAATTTATTTAGTTACAGTAATAGTTGTGAGCATGTTTTTATAATGAAAATAAGACTGCTTCAAGTAATCATCACGGGGGCTATTTCTCAATAATTTATATGAGTTGTTTTTTTGTGTCGGCTAACTTTAATAATCCTTCAGTCATCCAGGGAGCCTTTCTGTATTTTTTTTTAATTTTTACATATTGTGTACAATGCTTTATTATTTTTGTCAAATATGCATTCAACCCTAATGCTGCTATATCTAAATTGGGTGCGATATAAACCAAGTTCCAAGAGGCATAACTGATAATGTATTTGAGTTATTTGTGGTCTTTATGTTTTCTTAACCTGATTTCATCACTATTATGATTATTTGAGTTGAGAATTATTTGCAGCGGAATTTACTAGCAGGATTATGAAATCAGTTACTGCAAAAATTTTATATTTGATGATTATAATATGATATAGGCAAGTAGGGGAATTGCCTTGAATTATTTTAATACTGTCAATGGTAGGAATATACACATACTCGTTAATCATGTTCAGATGATCATTGACATATTAGAATTATCTAAAAGTATCGATGTTAATGTCATTACTAAAAACAGAAGAACATGTAGGTATTGGCTAGTTTACTGAATCTTCTGAAGAACACAACTTAGTTGGTGAAACACGCATCGAGAAGTACATTGTAGTTTTGGTGTTTGGTACTTGTTTTGAAGGTATTGTTGTTGCAAGTTGAGTTTTTTGGTTCGTCTAATTGTTCAGTTTTTTATGGAGAATAATTGAGTTCTTAGTATTCCAGTATTATTTACAGAAATGACATATCCTATCATTATTAGAGATCTTCTGAAAATCTCTAAATATTTTTGTTGCCACTATTGTGAACATTTAAATTCATACTTTATTTTAATCTATCTCAGTTTCAACAGTCACTGTGATGAATTGGTGAAAAAATAGTAAATCTATTGTCATGATCATGTTCTCAACTTTTTTCAGATCCAGAACTCATCTCTTTTGAAACATTAGCAGAAACAATGATTAGGAAAAAAGAAGAGGCTTTCAATGAAAATATCTCAAAAAAACTATATAAAAACAAGTTTGCTGTGGAAAATAATCACATTGTGAAACATGAAAAAATACACTCAACTAGGGAGAAGAGTGAATTATTCAATCTTTAATTCTGTTTGAAATCAATTGAAGAGAGCAGATTTCATGAGCAAAACAAAATTTACTTTAAAAATACAAATGAGATAAATGAAAAAAGTAGCTTGAAGAACTATAAAAAAACTCAAGAGAAAAATTTCACTGTGAAATCTGCTTGAAACCTTTTATTTGTAGGTCAGATCTTATCATTAACTCAAGAACTCATAGAGAGAAAAAGTTTGATTGTAAAATTTGTTTAAAATCTTTCGTCATAATGGAACTTCAAGAGAACACAATAAAACTCACACTGGATTAAAACCATTTCAATGTAAAATATGCTCAATATCTTATATGCGTAAGGGATATTTTATAATTCACTCAAGAACTCCTACAGGAGAAAAACCGTTTAAATGCAAAAGTTGCTCAAAATCTTTCAGTCAGAGTGGAAATTTGAATAAGTATGAAAGAACTCACACTAAGGAGAAGCCATCAATGTGAAATATGCTTGAATTTTTTCATTTATAGGTCAAATTCAATCATCCACTCAACAACTCATACAGGAAAAAAATTTTTTTATTGTAAAATTTGTTCAAAATGTTTCATTGATAATAAAACTTTGAGAGAACATGGAAATTTGTTAAAAATCTTTCAGTCATAATCAAATTTTGATAGAGCATGAAAAAAATTCATAGAGAGAAAACAATTTCAGTCTGAAATCTGCTCAAAATCTTTTATTTGTAAGAGAAATCTTGTAAATCACTCAAAAACTCATACAGGAGAAAATTCATTTAATTGTAAAATTTGTTTGAAAAGTCTTTCAGAGTGGAAATTTGAGTAAGCATGAAAAAAGTCACACTGGCGGGAAACTTTTACAATGTGAAATTCGATCAAAATCTTTTGTTTGTAAAAAATACCTCAAAAGTCACTCAAGAACTCATACAGCAGAAAACCCTTTCAATTGTAAAATTTGTTCAAAATCTTTCAGTCATTGTCAAATTTTTGTGAGGGAGATCTGTGAGGGAGATCTTTCAGCTGTCATAGAACTTTCGAGTGGGCATGAAAAAATTCACACCGGGAAAAAACCCATTCAGTGTGAAATTTGTTCGAAATCTTTCAGTAAATATAGTCACTTGAAAAAGCATGAAAAAATACATACTGGAGAAAAAACATTTCAATGTGAATTCTGCCCAAAGTCATGTATTAGAAGTGATCAGATTAAAATTCATGAAAACATTTGCAGTGTAAAATTTGCTCTAAATTAATAATTCAGAGAAATATTTTAAAACTGTATGAAAAAACTCATGCTGGGAAAAAACTCGTTTAACTGTAAACATTTTTCAAAATTCTTCAACATAAAAAGGTTAGTTACATGAGAACATCATCCTATCCAAAAATAATTTGAATNCAAACATGGAAAATTATATCTACTTCTGTATGTGGACGATATTTTGATTGCTGGAATTGATTTGCAAAGTATAAATTATATAATCGAGAAATTAATGGAGAGATTCGAAATGAAATGGAAAGAACTTAACAATTTTCTAGGTATACCTACAGATGGACTATAATAAGGAACGAGGAATATTGAAGATGAACCAATATAGCTATATATTCAAAAGATTTTGACAAAATTTAAAATGAGAGTCATTGTAAAGGTTCAAATATAAGTACCAATTGATCCAAAATTAAAAATATCTCTTTCAAAAAATGATGTTTTGATTGACAGTTGATAGGGTGCCTTATATATTTAATGTAAGGCAGCTGATAGGGTGCATTTGCATTATGTATTTGATGTTAGGTTAGGGACTCCACCTGATATTTCTTTCTCTTTGAACTATTTCAGCAGGTATCAGGATAAATCTAATAATTAAATCTGGTGGTATTTGAAAAGAATTCTTAGATATTTAAGTAAAACTCACAATGTAGGATTGGAGTTCAGGAGAGCTAGTAATATAAATCTAATTTGCTATGTAGATTCAGACTAGGAAAATGACTGTTGATAGAAAATCAGTTACTGGTATTTTATTCAAATTGTTTCGCAACACAATACACTGGACAACCAAAAAACAAAATTGTATAACACTTTCAACTACTGAGGCTGAATTGGTTGCATTATGTAGTGCTGTAAGTGAAGGTTTTTGGTTGAAGAAGCTTATGTTAGAATTTAGTATAAATGTTAGTCCTACAACATACTTCGAAGAAAATCAAAGTTTTATAGCACTAGTTAAAAATTCAGGTAATAATCGAAAAGTCAAAAATATATTTAAAATATTATTATGGTTGTGAACTTTGAAGAAGAACCACATTGAAATAAAGTATATTGAAACATCTTTACAAGAAGCATATATTCTCACGAAAGGCTTACCAAATGGGTTGTTCTCAAAATTGTGTCACAGAATGGGACTTAGGGATTTTAGCGAGAGTGGGTGTTGGATGTAACGCTAAAAACTCCCTAACTACAAATTAGATACTTGGTAACGCCGAAATGAAGAACTAAGTTAGACATGCTAAGGTTTGTTCTGGTTCTAACATCCGAAACTGTTTGGAAACAGCGCAAGACATGATGCGTACAAGCAAGAAATCTCAAACAGTCCGAAATAGTCTCGGACACTTGTTTAAACCAGAACGCTTTTGAAGAGACCACTTTGTCACCTATCAGTTCAAATGTTATCTAACCTTAATCATCAATTATTCAAATCAAATAAATAAAAAACATCCTAACAAATAGCCCAAAGAAATATCCACATAAATGCGCATGAGCAGAGGGAATAGTTCAGCCTCGAGAGCAAGAACGATTCGAGACGGTTCAAAACAGTTTAGGATCATTTCGCAGTCGAAACCAGAACAGAGGATTCATCAGTCCGAAACTATCCTCAATAAACCAGAACGCTCTATGTCAACTGCGCATGATCCTGACGTCCTAGAACCTGAATTTCGTAGGACCAGAACAAACCTGTAAAAGAGAGGTTGCAAATAGTCCTATAATAAAATTATGAATGAAATAAGTCTCCTATTATTGAAATATATCAATAAGAAAGAGGAATCAGTGGAATTATTCACAAAACATAAACAAGGTCTGAATAACTGAAGGTATTATAAACTCTATTGATAGAAAAAAATTGTTGTCGAGTTCAAAACTCAAGACAAATATTTACTAACAATAAGGGAGACAAAATCAAAAAAAGTAAAACAAACAGAATGGAATAAAATTAATAGTAAACATTCGTGGAATGTTAAACAAATAGGTAGATCCAATAAATCAAACCCTAGAGGTGAAATCATAACTGAGGACTAAGAAAAGGTAATTTCATCAATGATTATTTTGTGAGTGTAGGTGAATCCTATGCTAGACAAGAATAAAAAACCTTTTTCTGAATGAAATAATTTTGTATCTGAAATATTTATTATCATAATCTCCTAACTTTAAACAAATATCTGATGTTGATAGTATATCCTCAGAAAAGAAATATCAGGAAAAATAAACCCCATGACACATCTAAATAATTGAATATTTGAAAGTGGAATCTTTCCCCGTGAACTTTAAAAACCATAGTTCTTCCCGTGTTCAGAAAGGAAGATGAAACTGAAATGTGCAATTATAGACCCATTTCCATTACACTGTCAATAGCGAAAACTTGAGAAAACTATTGAAAAAAGTTGGTGTGTTATTCCAATAAATATAATGTAAATGTAATATAAATAAAATGTAAATATATAATACCTTACTGGAAAGTTTAGGTATACAAGTCAGTAGATGACAGTGAACCTAGCTTATGTGTATTCGTACACTTTTACTATCTCCGAGATAGGGAGACTTTTTGGATCTGTTGCAATTTTGCATATTCCAAAATAACTGGCAGTAAATTCGAAACGAGGTCAAAAAGTGCTTTATGGTTGGTTCATGGTCGAATGGATTCAAAGTACTGCACGTCGTCTTGAGTTTGTTCAGGTTGGAGCCCAGCTCCCTTACCCTTTTGACTGATCTCTGTCGAAGAAGGACAAATGGGTTCATGACTGAGGGTACCACTACCTGGCTGGGGTGGGATGGATGAAAGATCTGTTTATCCTTTAACGGGGGACATGAGACATGAGGGCCTCATTCGACAGAGTGTCGGGGCCTTCTATATCGGGAGGGGTCGTCTACAGCATAATCTATAGCTTCCCTGACTAAAGGATTTTCGTGAGTTTCCGCAACTTCAAAAACTCGTTGATTCCTCGTCTGAATGGACTGCTGAATGGAGGGCAGTTTCAAATCTCTGCGGATGGCTTCATTCCGTACGAACCAAGGAACATTCACAATCATCCTCATTACCTGATTTTGCAATACCTCCAGAATGGAGATATTACATTTCGCCGTTTGTCTCCAGATGCCTGAAGCATACATAATGACAGGCTTGAACATTGTATTGTAGATGGTAATCTTGTTCTTCAAACTCATTTTAGATTTTCTGTTGATCAGAGGGTACAGACTTGCTATTCGACCCTCGATCTTTGAGTTGACACACATAATGTGCGGGTTCCAATTGAGCCTACGGTCTTTCAGAAAGCCGAGGTACTTTACCTGCGCTGCCAGTCAATTTTCCTTCCAGAGATTCTCACTTTTCAGGTCGAAGAAGATAGCAACCTTCCCATGGTTATCGCCTGAGTCTTGTCCGGGTTCACTCGGATCTTCCAATTGAGGTACCAGCGTTCGAGGTCGTCCAATGCACGTTGCATATAGTCGACGCCAAACTCCCGACCTATGGAAGACGAGGGGAGAGCTGTGTCATCGGCGTATAGGGATATATTCACACGTTCGGGCCTCGGAAGGTCACTGCATGGTGTAAAGTGAATACAACGTCGGAGAGAGCACGGCCCCCTGTGGCACTCCAGCGAGTATCTCTCTGTTGTCAGACAAAGAGCCCTCTACCCTAACCTGAAATGTTCTGTCTTTCAGGAAAGAACCAATCCACCGGATCAGACCCCGAGGCAGGTCGAACGCGATTAATTTGTGCAGAAGGCCTTCATACCATCCACGGTCGAAGGCCTTCGAGATATCTAACAGTAAAATGTGCACTTTTTTGTTATTATTCAACTCTTGAATGGTGTTTTCGACCAGCCTTAGAGCCTATAACTCAGTGGAGTGTTCTCTCCTGAAGCCAAATTGTGCATCAGGCAGAACATTTCGGTCCTCAACTTCTTCGTTGAGCCTTTGGAGAACAACTCTTTCAGCCAGCTTAGCCGCCGACGAGAGTAGACTGATCGGGCGATCGTGGGAACAGCGGGTTCTGACCCTGTTTTGGGATCATGACGACGATCGCATGCTTCCACTTTCTGGGGAAGCGTCTGAGGGTCAACGAACTGTTTATAATCTGCAAAAGGCATTTAACGCAGTTGTTTGGGAGCCTCTTCAATATCTTGTTGGTTATTGTGTCGACCCCCGGAGCTTTCTTGGCCTTTGCGGCCCTGATGTAACCCTTCAGTTCTTCCACCCACAGAAGCTGGAAGGATGTCATCATCGTCATCCTCCCTGAGGATATGGTGAACCCGATCTTCCAACAGCATATCGCGGTCGATGTCGTCATCGTCGTCAACGTTAAGTTGAAACTAACGTTCCTTCGTGTCAACAAAGGCTAACGATTTGTCGGCGGATGAGTAGCACACTCCGCGCTCTCCGTGAATGGGTGAGGGAGCAGTCTTCTTCCCCCTAAGTCTGCAGCTGAGATAACATTTTAAACATTTCAAAAGTATCAAATTTTAATGTGTGACTGTAATAAAACTAACCACCTTGTGAATGTAATTTCTTATGATAGTGATAAAAATCCAAATGCTGTGCAAGATTCTGAAAATTTGACCTTGATACATGGAACATGAGCACATTCAAAAGTAAGGAGAAAACTAATGAATCAAACGTCAAAATACTAATTGATTATTTTGTCAGAGTAATAATATATTTTTTATTACTCTCAGATTATTTTGTTGTGGTGAGAGTGACAATTGGCAAGTGACAAGTTTGGATTTGGGATATTTAAACATGTGATTGTTAAAAAGTACTTCGGCCACTTCTATGTTGTATTGAGAAAAAAAACACAATAAACTCTCTGAACCAAATAGTGTTTCTAATTGAAGAGTGAAAAACTATGTCAGACTTTACATACCTAGATGAGTAGAATCACATATTATCAACAGCATTTCGTCATAACCATTAAAAAAATATTTACTCAGGTACTTTTCAATATTGAACAGGTCCGGTTATATGAACTAGGTTTCTCATTTGGGTGATGAAAACAATGGACTACCTAGGTTGAAACAGGTTTGCACAATTATGAAGAAATGTAAATGAATATATACCTAGTGAACCTAGTGTAAACCAAGTAAAAACTTCGTAAACTTTGAAGCTAATAGTTTCAAAAATGAACCCAGGTCTCTTGTTCAACACATTTGAAAAATAAAATAGATGGGAAACACATTTATCATGAGGAACTGAGTTATCATTGTACATCAACATTTGCACCTATCCATAGATAACTATACTCAACTAATTATCATAAAAATTACTCATATTATCATCCCTTCCTTTGTTTTATTGAATGTGGATGATAGCAGAGTGAGGTGAAGGATATGTAGTAAAATAATTTTATCGTCAGCTCATGGAATTTTCAATGTTAGTTGCCCACTGTGATTTTCATGTTTCTTCGACGATTCATCAGAACTTGACAGTAATCCATGAAAAAAAATTGTCAGTTTCAATATTCAGTTTAATTATTATGAGCTGAACCAATTGGAAAATGCATGGTCACAGTCAATGGTTTCCAGTTTCCACACTGAAAATAAATGATTAAGCCAATGACACAATCATCCTGTTTCAAAAGTATCGAACAATAATATATTTTTCAGGTAATCGTCAAAAATGATGGTAAGTAGCGATTAGGAACTGGTTATTTTTGGTACTTATCTGTATTGTTTCCTCTAACAGAAGAAGAGGTATTTGGTGTTGTATGATTGGCAACCCTTCTTGTCAAATACTATAACCTATAATTTTTTTTTCTGTTCCAATTTTCATTTATAGTTTTGGTTAGTACAAATGAAATAATATTAGAATAAATAAATTTGTTACAGTTCGATACTATATTCGAGAGTTCTCTTTAATTTCGATATCAAGCATAGCCAACATTATAACCTAAAATGCCTCCTATTTTTCAAGTGCAGTGAGTCTATTGGTGACCAAGACTATCAAAAACAAAACATATTAAATAAAATTTGAGTGTGGATGAATAAGATCAAGTAGCGAATTTACTGTAGTTATATAATAAGCCTCAATGGAATCTATCACTTCAGAACAGCTTAGTCAGTATGAAAAAATAATGGAGCAGATCAGCAATGAGCTCAAAAAATCAGATGAACTCAGAAAACAACTAGAAAAAGAAAATGACCGAATCATCCTCTATAACTTAATAAAACAGAGGGTCAGTCAGAAACTGTCCTCAACTAGCCTTAAAATTTTTCATAATATTGTCCATTTACTCTCCTTATATGAAGATGAAATACAAATGGACATTGGAGACCTCTTAACTTGTCAGAACTGTAAATATTATCTAATTGAAGTGTACATCGCAAAAGCACTATTCCAGAAGTTGAAAGATATGAATTGTATTATTAGTATATCTCTGAAAATTGGAGATAAATGCATAAATAAATCTGTGAATATTCCAAAGACATTACCTTTGGTTGAAATTATAATTGTAGATGACAATGTTGTTGAAAGTATTCTAGAAACGTGCATCATTTTTCCAGATGAGCGTTGGATGACCATTAAACTTGAAACAATAAATGTTGATATATCCTACCACTTCCAAAAACCGAACAAGACTAGCTTGAATACCAAAATCAACAAAATTCTACAGCTATCAAAAAGGTACAATGAACTTTTGGATTTCAAATGTTTTAAAGATGAAATGCAGTTGGAATATGAGTTCAGATGCAAGATAGATCCAAGTGAATTTCTAGAAGCCATCTTGAAGAACTCGTATCATAATTTGAGTATTGATCATTTCACAGGGTTGAATACTGATGATTCAAATGATTTTTTAATAGAACTATCACATGGTTCTGGTCGACATGAATTCAGATATGATAAAAATAATAAATTACAGGTGAAAAGTAATTTACAAGATCTTCAAAAATTAAAAGTACACATATATACAGTTTTTCATAAAGAAGCAGTGATGCATTGGAAACTAGCAGAACTTACTGAGGTTAGTGACTTTATATTGAACAATTGTCAGTTTATGATTACAACTTTGATCCTGTAGAAAAAAGTATTCAAAATATATATCCTTTAGTGTTCTGTTATCCAATGATGACATAAAATAATTCTAATTCATGAGATATTATCTTCAAAATATCATGTTACTAAATGCTTTTTTCATTTTTTTTCACAATATTTGTCCCAAGAAGTTTTTCAGTTTTTATTTACAAAATTTAGCCAAGTCAATTACTGGTGTAACCATCAGCATCTACAGTGATACCCAAAGTAGGTGTCTACCATTGGTTATTCTGTTATTATTGGAGGGACAAAATTGGGAGAAATGAAATTACCAGTAATATTTTTTTCAATTGAAGCTCCTGTGTATCATATTTTTTCTGGAACATGATAAATTTTTAAACAAAAGTTGAGATACTAATGACAGAAAACAAGAAAACAAGTTTTCTCACTGGATCCCATACCAAAAGCATTTGAACTGGTCAGTAATTATAAGGAATAAATTTGTATTTGAACAGGATAGTACCAATACTGAAATTAGAGTCCTTTATAATATACGGTATTGAATTTTCATGGTAAATGCCGAAATATTCAATAACTGCAATTTCTGAAGCCACGTTTTAATGAAGTTTTTTTGCATTTGTTTTAGGAAAAAGACTCTCATTACTTTGACATTTCCGTTAGAATTCAAAAACAAAATTGTTCATATGCTTGAATGTGGAAGGAATCTAATTCAGAGTATTATTCCTTCACTTTCAAATAGGTACCATTTTCTGAACACTAAATAACATTCAAACGTATCACACATTTCTTTATTAAAAAAATATTTTCCTTCAAATTTGTAACTGATATAAAAAAGCGTATAAGATAAGAGAGTATTTGATGATAACAACTACTATTTGACATTTTTTGATATTTTGTTTTCCGAAGCCTTATATGCGGATGTGCAGTTCTGTGACTCTGTGTTTCTCATACTGACATCAAACCGTTAGCGTCAGAGAAAGTGTATTATCGATTTTTTTTTTTAATTTTTGTTTGATATTTGATGCTTATTCAGAAAAAAATATAATATACAGACATCACAACAAGCACTGTTCGCAAACACCAGAATGGCGACACTCTTCTCTACGCACGTTTCGCTAGATGAGATAGATTACTTCATCACCTGAAAACGCCAATATGGTTGGTGAAACGCCCATCTAGAATAATGTTGCCTTGTTGGTGTTTGGTAACAGTGCTTGTTTTTGATTTATTCTGCGACACAGGTTTCAGTTCTACATTCAATTACAGGGGTTTTTATAAAAAAAAAATTAAACTCGTTTCTTGCATCTTAATGAGTAAGAAAAGTTCTATTTATTTAGATACCACTATATTAGATAATAAATGTAAACGAATTGAATTCACACTTATAATTTGCATCTCTTCTAATAAATGATTTTTTCAGCTAAAAGAAAAAATCCCACTAATTATTGGAGAAGTCCGAAGCTTCTACACTAATATGAGGAAATGCTGGTGGTCAAATTTACCAGTTTGACTTGTTGTCTGCTGATGATTTTCTGGTATGTTACCATGTTTAAGATTAAACACTGTTTTTATATTGGGAGTTATTATCATTTCAATTTGAGAATTAACATAAATGATTAGATATATGAATAAATGGTTCTTCTGAAGAAACATATTTCTAAGCTACTCTTATTTCAGTAAAGTACCCCCTATACAGTCAATATTATTCCTCAATATGCATTGTTCAATATATTGAAGGTCTCATAAATATGCTTCAGTATACTTTAATATAGCTATCAATGTGATGACTGGACATTTTCATTTTTATTGTTGGTTGTGCTTGGAAAGTTTTCGAACCATTGGTAAAATTTTTATTAGTATTACCTATTTTTTCCATTACTAAGAAATGCTGCCTCAAATAGAGTTCGCTTTTTTTACCTGGACTTTGGCTCAGTGTAAAATGAAAAAGAAAGGAAGAAAAAATAAAAGTGCTGGTAAGAGAATGGATAGGTTAGGTTTGGTCAAAAGTGAGCGGGGTCTATTCGACCCTACACCGCAACCCACAAGGTTTTATTGTGGCTCACAACTATTCAAACTCGACCAAATAAACCCAGCTTCTCAACTAAGCCGATTAGTTTATATGGTGAGTGATCTTTCAGGTCAGATGGTAAGAGTGTGGCTCTGCCTAACTCTAAAAACCTGATTAGGTCCGCAGTTGGCCAGGCAAAAAGTATATGCTTTGCTGTTTCATCATTTTCCAAACAGAGGCGACACACACTCTTCCGACAGTCCGAGTTTCTGCATATGATGATTCAGACGACAGTGACCTGTTAGGAGGCATGTTTGACAACATAGTTCATCACAGTCCAACAACTGGTTGGTTTCAAGTTTCGAAGGATGAATGAACGCCTTGGAGTGAGTTAATCCTGGAAGATTTTGCCAACGTTTGTTTGGCAAAACCTAAAGCGATGCCAATGACAGGTTCTGGTCCGATGAAGCTGATTGCGGAGCAGAGACAATTTGTTGAGTCTTCATATTGAGGAGAGTCGGTTTTTGGTAATTTGCTACCAATTTAGACGTTGCTCGGTAGGAGCCAAGAGCTTTCAATGCCGCTTGGCTGCCCGAGAATATTTTTATTGACTTTTGTATGCGATTGGATTCTACCAGTCTCTCCGCACACAATTCAGTAGCATAGATTTTTGCTTGAAATACAAAATTTTCAAATTTTTATGTAACTTATTTTCTCTTTTCCTGTGGAAAATATTTATGAATAAAGATCAGCCTTGTTCAACAACAGTTTGTCAAAATTTCCATAATCATATTTTAAGATTTCTTACCTTCAGGGATGATAAACTTATTGCAATTTCCAATTATTGACTTATCTTAAAGATATCTGTATTCAGATATAGAGAATACAGATTTACACTGAATTATTTCATGAAATCTATGAATTGGATTAATACTGTTTGTTAACATTGAATTTTTGAAAGAAGACAGATATATTTTGCCCTTCAGCTAGATCCCCAGACTTGAACTGTGAAATTGTGAAATTAAGAATAAAAGAAAAAATCGAATAGGGACAAGGAAATGAATGCATTTTATTTTCTACCTCATAAACCGTTCGCTAGACGAAAAAAGGCAGAAGACCATTTGTATGAGAAGATAGAGGGCAATTACAATAATAATAATAAATGTCTTTATTTCCACATTCCACATACAAACATGGATGACAGGAAATCTCAAGGGGAAGTTCACCAATTGGTGCTCTACTACTCAACCCTTGTTGTAGTAAGGCTTATATTATTTTTATTTTGCCTACCTAACCTGGTCACTGGTCCAGTGGCGTACCATGATTTTAATAAAAATATAGCATTGCATGTCAACCGAGACGTTACTGATGAACCTTAAGAAAACCTTTACCATGAAAAAAGTTTGTTTTTATGCTTACTTTGCATGTACCAGAATTGAAAAAAGAGCCATAGCAGTTGCAGTGATATTAGTGGAGAAATGATTTTTTTGTTCAATTTCAACATCCTGTATCTCAGAAATAAAGGCATTGCAGACCTATGTTCATATGAAGAATTTTTCTGGAAATCATCCAATGATTATTGATTGCGCTTCAGGATCAACATTCAATTATGAAACACCCATATTAGCTCTGGAATCCGTATCAAAATCTTTGGTAAGGAACCAGATCAGGAAATGGGGTGATAAGATAACATAAATAATGTTATATACAGTTCCTTATAGTATTGCGACACCAGTGTGATTCGCAAATGCTTACTGATAAAAAAACTTCAAAACACCGTAAGTGGTCTGGATTCATAAAGGAACTAAGAATTACTATGAGAAAATATCTATCGGAACAGGAAGAATGCAACCCTTGTCGACACAGAACTGATGAACCTGACTGTCAAACTAGAAAATTTGATGCACTGCAATGGAAGCCACAAAATGTGCCTACCCAAAATAGGTCAATTTTATTGTTAAGGGGGACACTTTCAAGGACCATTTGTAGCCCTCGTGGTTCAACCTGCTAAGAGGGGTAGATGTTATCCTTAGAATTTTAATTGGGAAAGGGGATGAAGTGGCACATTATTTTGATTGGCGTTCAATTCTGCTTCCAATGGTACCCTGACTGTTATTTTTTGATGAGCATTTTCCGAAGAATAGCGTTCTAAACTAACAGAAGTAATTATTAGTACGCCTATACTGAGATGAATGGTTTGACCAGAGCTGGTAAGAATATTAGGTGGTACCGTTCCAACTCTTCATTATGGGTAACATTAGCCATTAGCTCCAAATAATTTACATCAAAAAGTAGTCTAATAGTAAAACATAAATTGTAGTGACGTTGTGTTTAGTAAATGCTGAATTTTTAATTCTTATCGCAGAAAGTGTACAGATAGCCGTCCTTTTCTACTACTTCTGCTGTAAAAAGTTTGTTTTCAGACAAAAAATTGGTTAGCAAATTTGAACGATGTGGTAGTATTGTGTATACAGTTGTACCTGTTGGGCTGTTTAGTGATTATTTTAAATAAGTGTGTAAAAGTGTGAAAATGGTTTCCATTCTTCAGAACAGAATTTAAATGATTGTTATTTATGGAGAAGTGGAAAGTGCGCATGAAGGGCGGTATGTCTTTTTATTGAAAGACATCCAAATTGTAATGTAAGTCACCAGTATGTCCTTGATTTAGTGAATAAGTTTTACGAAACTGGTTCGGCGAAAAATAAAAAAAGAAATATGAAATGATACTAAATGAAGCAGCTCAAATTGAAGTGTTGGGAACATTTGCTGCAGAGCCTACGAGTTCCTTACGATCAGTATCAGAACAGACGGGAATGTCACGCGAGACTGTAAGGAAAGCATTGAAAATACAAAATACATTCTTATAAAATGCAGATTCTTCAATAGTTCCACGAGTATGATTATGATAGAAGAATAGAGTTTTGTGAAATCATGTCTCATCGAGTAAATACCATCCCAAATTTTTTGTTAAACATTTCTCACCTATAAGTGTTATTTTTTATGAATGGCAATGTTAATAGACAAAATTGTCGCTATTGGAGTGACGGAAACCCATATATTTTTCGGGAAGGGCATACCCAACAACCACAAAAAGGTATTGTTTGGGCTGCATTCTTGAAAATGCCATTATTGGTCCATTATTTCTGGAAGAAAACTTGACTGGCAATTTGTACCTTGAAATGCTTGAAGAAACTATTGATCTTCTTATGATTCACGAGCTAGAAACTCAAATGGATGCAGAAGGTAAGGAACTTTTGCAGGAGGATCTGTTACATTTCCCGTCCGACAGTGGCTTAACGAGAGATTTCCGGATAGATGGATTGGCAGAAGGGGATCAGTTGAATGGCCTCCAAGATCACCGGATTTAACAGTTTTGGATTTATTCCTTTGGAGACATCTTAACTCTGTTGCTTATAAAACACAACCTTCTGATATTGAAGAACTTCAAAGACGAATTACAGCAGCATGTTAGTCAATTCCTATTAAAGTTTTTCGTAATGTTAGAGGGGAGTTCGAAAACATACGTTATTACTGTTTAGAGCAAAATGGACGGCATTTCGAACAGTTTATAAGATAAGCACAATTAGATTTTATGTTGGAAATGTCTTTCTCACAAATTGAATTTTATTTTGTAAAATGACAATAACCAACAAATGAAAACTCCCACGCGTAATACATTTGTTCCTGTCATTCAAGGATTGGAACGGTGCCACCTACTCTTATAACCATTTTTATCAAAGGGAGTCAATACAATGATACATCTCAGAGCAGTTAAATTCTAATTAAAGGTGTAAGTTTGGAACGTTATTTTTCGGAAACTGCTCTTCAAAAAATAAAACGTCAGGGTATCGTTGGAAGCAGAATTGAACGCTAATCAAAATGATGTGCCGTTTGACACCCCTTCCTATTTAAGATTCTAAGGGTAACATCTACCCCTCTTTGGGGGTTGAACCACGAGGGCTACAAATATTCCTTGAAAGTGTTCCCCATGACTATAAAATTGACATGTTTTTCGATTCCTCATATTATTTACTGTAAGGAAGATATTAAGGGTGGGAAGTTTTCAAATTGACAACCTGTATTTCCTATTACTAAGACCTATTATGAATGTGACTGGCTTATCTAATTATGACCTGGCCAAACACCTAATGACTCTTATGTTGCCGCCTATTATATCAATAAATGAGGTACTCAATAAAGATATAGGATATTTTATCCAGAAAATGAGGCACTTATGGTCAGGTCCAGGAGACGTACTAGTGAGATTCGACATGATCTATACAGGATGATTCTTGTCAAAGACACTACACAGCCAATTAGTGAAGTATTTTTGGTAGACTTAATCGCCCAGTTCGCTTATTGTTCATCATCTATGTTTTTCCAGTGGGTCTTTGAATGTTTTCAATATCCTGTCCACGGCACTAAAGTGAATATTGCTTACTGGATGCCGGTGATTGAAAATACAAGCAACATCTCGATATGGCACATTCTCACCACATAAAAGAACGATTTTCACTTTTCACATTGTATATAAAACTCACTTGTAAATTATAAATGTACACAAAACAAGTCGATTCATTAAACGCAATAATTTGACATTAACCAAAACTAAAAATTTGTTTCATAAGCCTACTAAGGGAATATTT